GAGAGGTGAAACAGGTTTAATGTCAGTGTCACGCCAATCAAACAAACGGCTCCCATCAAAAAATAGGGAAACATATGATGAACCAGCAGATCTGGGGCGTCTATTTTCAGACCCAAATCAGAAAAGTCATGAAGCAAATCACCAGAAATCCTTGAAAATGCCATGGATTTGCTATTCTTTTAAAGTTTCCCATTAGTTCATAAGTTCATGCACCAGAAATGGGGAATCTACTAGGATCAGTTTATTCTTGTTTGAACCCCTGGGTCGCAAATCCATCATGTTTGGTGCTTAAATCCCAGTTTTTTCTTGGTCAAATCTCCATACATTATAATAAATCTAAAATTTACCCTCTGGTAATTTAACATAGCTATTGAAAATAGCAACTTATAGTGGATTTACCACTTTAAAATGGTGATTTTCCATAGCTATGTTAGTGTACCAGAGGGTACATATTGCATTCCCATATGTTCAGTTCCTAAGAGTCGACAAGTCGGACGTTTTTTTTGTTGCCGAGGCGACGGGCAGGAGCAATGCGGCCGCTCGGACATATAGGGGGGGTTCTTAAAATGGTGGCACCCCAAATCATCCACTTGAATAGGTTTTTTCCATGTTTTTCCTTTATAAACATTTAACATCATTTAAGTCATTTAAGTATTCAAGTGTTTATATAACCATTCAATCCATTTCGCGGATTTTTATGGATGTATGATGATTTAACCATTGAATGCGTGTCATATTCAAGAATTATGTGTTCTTGTTAAAAACCCTCGTCTTTTCCAATAGGACGGGGGAAAGCCATGGGAATACTTCATGGCGTAAGCAACTACAGTTTATCAATGGGGGTCGACCCCGATTGAGGATGGTCATCACCAATGAACCAACTAAAAAAGGGCAAACAATCCTGCAACATAGGGATTTCACCAAGCAACATTCTGGTTTCTGGGATATGTTAATGTGTATTATATATATATATATATTCACATGTGATATTTATATTAATATGCACATGGACACATATTCCACATGTGGAAATGTTCATAGGCTATCGAGTGATTATAAAGTGTAATCATGTATTCTGTTTCTATAATACATGTTTGTATGATAGCAGCATTGGTCACATCCCAGAAATTACCCGTTGGTTCTCTCAAGTAGGTTGTTGCAGTTCATCCTTGGTTTGATGAAAACCCCGTCAACTCATTGATTTTTTCGGATGAGTTTGGACATGTTTGGACACACTCGAACCACACCACAAAGCAAAGGATTGTTTGGTACCTGTCTCCCGCTTGGTTCTATCCGCATGTGCTTATGTCCTTTTTTGCGTGCATCATTTTGTTGGTCAATTGAATCCCTGTTTTGAATAGTTCTTATGTTGTTTGAAGGTTATATCAACATCCTCATGTTTGACCCTTCAAATCATCATGGTTTGATGGTTTGTTTTTTTTGCATCATGAAATTATGATGAATTATGTGTATATTTTCATCTTTACAATCTTATATAATCACCTTTAAAATCACCACAATGGTACGACACCCGCTGGGAATTGAACAGCTCGCAATGGAAGCCATCGCCCGTTTTCTTGGTGAAACCTCCATCCTCGCATCCCTTCTGGTGAAAACATCCCCATTTCTGCTGGATAGATCTCCAATCCCCATGTTTGCTCATCAAACGTTAAATCATGTTAATTCATTTTTAATCATATCAATTTAGCTTGATTATTTTGTTGAATGCGCCTCGTAGCCTGTGCTTGTAGCTGCAGGTCCTGTTTTCCGTGCCGCCACGTGTCTGGACTTCTGTTTGAGGCCTAAAGGCACGCGGTCCACGTATGTTTGGGAACACGTTGCTGCAATCCCCGCGTCCCTCTCATTGCGCGTCTTGTTTTTCCACTGTTTTTATTTTCTTTCTGGGCCGAGGATTCTCCCTGGCTGTCCTGGTCTAGCAGCGTCGCTGTCGCCTTTTTGGTTTGCTGTTGCGCAAGGTAAGCCAGGCGGTGTTCGTCTCATTCTTGCTCGCTTATGGGTTTGCTTGCTTCGTTCATATTTGGCTTCAGGTGATCGTCGCGTGCTGGCAGTGCTTCGTCCACGCGCGCATCGTTGTGATCTGGCCGGGGCGCTAGATTTTTGGTCAATGTGATATCTTATGTGGTTCTTTTTTTTGTGCTGTTTTGTGTTTGTTGCATTTATCTTTTTTTGTTGGAGGATTGATGGGTTGATCAGAACGGCTACTCCACCTGGCACGTGCCAAGAAACCTCTGGAAGAAGGCGGTCCGATACACCGAATGGGCCCAGGAGTCTTTGTCTGGCCCAATCTGTGTTGAAGACCTCCTAGGCCATTTTGTTTCTTGTTTGCATTACGTTTTTTCCCCGTGCTGCTCAAACTCCGTGACGGAGGAGGATGTCGCGTGGGCCGAAAAAAGCGGTCTCGCAACGTGCTGTTCTGAGTATGTTTGTTGTTTTGTTTGGTCCTTTGCGCCGTTTGTTTTTGGATTATTGGATTGTTCTCTTTGGCTTCAATTGGTTCCTGAGGCCTTTGATTTTTCACAGCACTGCAAAAGCTTGCTGCAACAGGCGGCCGCGTCTTTTGCACAGGGTATGGTCGTGTGCATATGTGTGTGTGTAGCATCTGAACCGATGCAAAACTTCTACTTTGTTTATATTATAGCATGCAGGGGTGAACCAAATATCGATTTCTTGTGTCTCGCCTTACTGTACCAAATGGCGATTCCGCGTCTCGCCTCAGTGAACCACAAGGCGATCCCTGCATGGGGTCTCGCCATCGTGAACCCAATTTTTCAGAGGCGATTCCTGGTGTCCGGCTTCTTTATACTATATACCACCCGGCATTGCCGGGTGGTGAAGCATCTGTATAAGACTTCAGTGTACCATCTGGCGATTCTTGTTGTCTCGCCCCAGTGAACCAAATGGCGATTCCTTGTGTCTCGCCTTAATGAACCAAATGGTGATTCCACGTGTCTCGCCATAGTGAACCCAACGCACATGCAGGAGGAAAAAGAGCTCTCTGATGCTACTCCATCCAACGAAGCTTTGCATCAGAGAGGATAGCATCCACCGGCCATGGATGTGTACCTGCACTTTATATACTTTAATAACGCTGCTGGTTTATACGTCAAAGACTCCTGTGGTCTATACTTCTACACTGTTCGTTTATATGTCAAAGACTCCTGTGTTTTAAACTATAACGCTGTTGGTTTGTATGTTAGTGACTCCTGTGAATTATACTGATGCGGCAAGGGTCTAAGCCAAGGACCCCTAGGTAATCCAATCTACTTAGAATCTGGCCCGGTTATGGTTTATGGGATTCAGTTCCCAACAGATCACTTCAGTGATCTTAATCTTGTGTAGTGTCTCTGTGTGTGTGTAACATCTGACTAGATGTAAAATGTAAAACTTCTATTTTCTAAAATACGCAGGGGGGCAACTCCCGTGAGCATAGCTGATTGCCCAACGACGAGGGCTATGCCACAGGCACGCGAGATGAAGTTTCTGCGTGTCAACAAGGCACGTTTGTATCTTAGCTCGATATTGAAATCCGTTGCTGGGTTGCTTTCTGATCACATCAAAGGCCTCCTTAGTGTGACATGCAGGACCAACTTTTTCGGGCATCGCTTTGGTGCCGCTGCGGCTACTTCGGATATCGCTTTGGGGCCGCTGAGCAGGAAAGAGGAAAAAACAGTCTCACCGAGAGCTAACGTATTTGTTTGCGATAAAAGCAAGGCTGCGGCTATGCAACCAATCATTGGATTGATGTGAAAGCAATTCGTGGGAACATGTTTGCCTAAGCAGCAACTGACGATTGGGTATATTAATTTTACGAGGGGCACCCGCATGCTTTTGTCATCTAAAGTTATGCCACCAAAGCAATAGCCATTTCTGCCCAAGACTTTGTTGGGAATCATCTCTGACAGCGGTGTCAAATTGTGAGGCGCGCTTCAATGTTTATCGACTTGAAAAAGAGGGTGAGCAACACTTGAGCATATGCGCCACGGGAGTGCTGTTTCAGGATGGAACACTTACCCCGAGCATATTATCAGACCGAGCCTCAGAGTTTGCTCCTGGTAGCAGATCATTCGTCTTGGTTTTATGGTGTACACGAGGCAAAAATATGACCCGGCTACAAATACGGTTGCGGCTGCTTTTGAAGATTCCTTGACGGTGAAGCAGTCGTGTCCTCAGAACAGAACCCCAAGGGTTTGATTGTTGTGTTTAAAGCAGAAAGTCGGCGATCCAGGCGCAAGACTTGGCGCAAGGCTGATGTCACGGAAAAGAGTGCGGCTCTTAGGTGTTAATGCGATTCGTTCAACACATGCCCTGCTCAGTGTTGCATGCTGGTCCTTTATTTTCTTTGCGAGACCGTCTCATGGCCGTTTGGCCTTTTGCTGAACCTTCATGGTTGAGCTTGGAGGTGCGGCCCCTCGGATGTGAAGCATGTTCATGCATGTTGCCTGTCCTTGCAGGCCTTGAAGGAGAGCCCCACACCACCGAAGCCTAACCGTGCATGCCCGGCAGTAAAGATGACAGTAGAGGCCATGAACGTAGGGCATCTAAGAGATATTCCCGGGTGAGCTTGCCCTGGCAGGTGATGCGTGAGAAACTACGGGCACGATGCTCAGGGGGGCAGGAACGAAGGGACGGAAGGTATTCTTGTAGGGTGTTTCGGCAGATCCGCTTAGCCTCCAGGCCTTCGAAAATGTCCATCGCAAATTTGACTGTTTGAAAAGCTCTGGGTGGACGTGCCGCGTCCTCAGGATATATGGACTTCATGTTTTTCAAATTTGTCAGAAACCATCGGTGGCCCAGGCTATATTGACCCAAGAACAAACAACTTTTGGTGGCATTGGGCTGATGATCTCTGGGCTTGGGAAGATGCCCTTTTTGACGAGGCGGGCGAAAAACATGACATAAGTTAGCACCTCATGGGAAACGCTGGCATTCCTTGCTCTTGTTGGATCGCAGGAACAATGACGCAGAGGCAGGCGGGTTGATCTTATTGGGCCCGCTTCATCGCGGATAGGCTCAAACTGACCGTCGATCTCCATGAATGCCTGGTGTTGTGTGGTTTTATGTTGCCTGAATGTTCCACGCTTCATTCTGGACGAAAGGCTGCTTTTGCCCACTAAATTTTCCCGACGTGCAAGACATTGATTGCCTTTGATCACTCGCAGGTCGTCAATCCCTTCCTGACGCTGCGCGGCAAGCCCTACTCGTTGGCGCACTCCGTCCACGGCAGCGAGATTGCCGACCTCTTTCCACTTTTTGCACATGTTCTTACGTGTTTACCCTCTTCCTAGTACTTTCCCTTGCCAAGGAGAAGACAACATGACGAAAGCTTTGGCAACGCTGGCGACGGTCAAAATGTCAAAGCACGCGCGGCTGTGCATCAGCATTTTGTGCATCTTCTGCCGCAGCCAAGCACTCTGCACCTTGATTGCATGTCGGTTACTGCTCGACTGATATGGAGTCCGATCAACTCCACATACCTGCAAACTATTTTGATTTCATTCCGTATATGGCAAGCGGCCAAGCCAAGAACCGCGAAGCTGGATGTCAATTCTACACGGTTGTCGCAATCTGAGACTACAGCTAACTGCTCAAGTTTTACTTGGGTTTTGCTCTCGGTTTGCGGGCATCTTTGGCGAAAGAAAACCGTCAATTTCACTTGATTGCTAGATTACTAATATTTGTTGATTGAACCGTATTAAATTTCATTTTTCTTGCTGATGGAAACCATGTTACCTCCAGGTAACCAGGTAATCTAACATATTGATTGAGAATCACCCAGTGTTATTTTGTGTTTCATCTACTCTAAATTCTGATTTTCCATAGCAAACTTTCCTTCTTTGTTGCTTAAATCCCAATAAATCCCATGACATTCTACTAAATCCAATCAAAGATGGTAAAAATCCCCCATGTCATCTCCGTGTTCTGCTGATGATCCCAAGGCGAAGACCTTGGAAAACGCCAAGAGCAAGGCCAAGAGCAAGGCGACTGAGGCGCAAAAGAAGGCCAAAGAGGTGCCCTGGTGGCAGATTTCGATGCAACGATGGCAATATTTACTGGGGATCTATCCTGTTCTGTTTACGCGTTTGATGTCAACAAAGATGGCAAGGTTTACTAGGGATATATCCGTTGTTTTTAGTGTATATATAATTTGTTTTATGGTGATAGAACGAGGATAGATATACTATGACCGAAGGAATTTTAAAAGTCAAACTTCCGACAATATGGACTGATGGAAAAGCAGAGGTGGGAAGAGTCATAGAAGAGAAGAGAAGAAGAGAGAAGATCAGAGAAGAGAGTCAGAAGAAAGAAGATGCAGGTGCGCGAAAAGGTAGGAAAGTCGCGAAACACTGTGTTTTTCCAATGATTTGTGGCTCCGGAGGGTCGAAAAGTAGGCTCGCTAAAGCGGCGGGTGCGGAGACATCTGGTCAGATGAGAGATGAAAAATTGCACGCTGTTGTGGCGCAAAGCACATTTCAAAGTGAAATGAGCAAAACACCTCAGCCTCGGAGCACTTTTGGAAGTTGAGATAACGAAAAAGTGCACGCCCTTGTGGCGCGAAGCACATTTCGAAGCCAAAAGTGTTAAAAACTGACAGTCTTGGACTACTTTTGAAAGTTGAGATGTCGAAGATGTGCACGCCGTTGTGGCGCGAAGCACATTTCCAAATCAAAATGTATAAAACACACCATGCTCGGACCACTTTTGGAAGTTGAAATGATGAACAAGTGCACGTGGCGCGAAGCACATTTCGAAGTCAAAAGCGGAAAACGCTGAGGGTTCGGAGCACTTTTGGACGTTCGGATGTCGTTTTGCGTGGCAGTCACAAGGGATTCTGCACCTTGCCAAAAGTGAGCAAAACGTGAGGGTTTTGTAGCAGTTTCAACTACAACCGCTACATTACACTACACTACATTACACTACACCACACCAAATACAACTACAACTACAGCTACATTACACTACACTAATTATATCTAATTATACATTACATTAGGCTACACTACAATACACTACACTCCACTACACTACACTGCGCTACACTCAGTTACACTACACTACACTACGCTAGGCTACACAACACTACACTACACTACACTGATTGCATCACACTGCGCTACACTACACCACACAACACCACACCACACCACACCACACCACACCACACCACACCACACCACACCACACCACACCACACTACACTACACTACACTACACTACACTAACTACAACTACAGCTACAACTACAACTGTGCTACTTTACACTACACTACACCACACTAGAGCACACTACATTACACATCCCTACAGTACACTACACTACACTCATTACACCACCTTTACAGTTGTAATCATTTTCCCGCGGGGCCGATTCATTACACTACACTCATGTACACTACACTACACTACACCAAATACACTACACCACAACTACAACTCCACTACACTACAACTACAACTACAGCTGCACTGCACCACACTACATCCAGCAGTTGTGGGTGAGGTGACCGACCAGGTGACCACTGCAACCATTGCAACCATTCCAAAAAACACAACTCCAACCACCTTTGGCTCCATCCGTGATTCGCAACAACCAACCTCTCCTATAGGTTTCCTATTTTTGAAACTTCCGCCACCTTGTGCGGTACTACTGGTATATTGCTGTTTGTGTGATAGAATGGGGATAGTCTGGTGATGTGGGATATGTTTTGACCTTTAACAATTGGGGATGGTTTACTGGCGTTTTAAGCGTTTTGCTTTTCGAAATTTCCATGGTGATGAATCACTAAGAAATCTCTGCTTTGACATGTTTTGTTTGAAAAACATGGGATAATCTCAAGGTTTTTTTTTCTTGGGGATTTTCGTTCATCGCTTATAATTGATTTTCTCATTCTAACCTCCATGTTTTGTCATTTTCATATATTTTCATTTGATTTCCTTGGGTTCGCATGGGAATCATATGATGTGGGTCTATACTGGGAAATGTGGAGTTACCCTTTACCAGTAAATCAACAGTTTTCTATGGAACATTTTCCATGTACAGATTTTCGGGTTAAGACCTCCATTTAGGATTTTGGGACTTTCCGACTTTCCATTGAATTTCCACATGTTTCAATACCGGAGGGTTTTGTGGATTTCAGCACCACACATAAAACGGGTTTCCACCGTCCAGGTGGTCCAGGACAAGCACGTCCAGGCGCCGAACCGATTCTGTTTTGTGAAAAGAGTGTGATTTAACGAACGAAAAACGGTCGGAAAATGGTCATTTAACCAACAACGTGTATGATTTGTCATGGGATTAAGAGCTGATTTGTTATAGTTTTTTTTTATAGTTCCAAGCTCCAAATATATAATTTAGATCTATTAGGGGGTTTTGTTTGATTTAGATCAATGATCAAATCATAACCGGGGTGCGCTGTAAATGTTCACCAGTGATTTCCAATTGTTTGATGTTGGAATTCCTTCCCATTTGATGATTAACATCCCTGTTTTTGTTGGGTAGACGGAAATTTTCCATATAACTCAGATTCCGTAGTGCTTGTTGAAACTCTCATTTCTGATTGTGATTGTTTTGTTTCTCACTTTTACTCCAAATTTTGATGGTTTTTATCTCTGTTTGAAGGATTTTACTTGGGCAAATCCCAGTTTTTTTCCTCAACTGATTTATTCCCACTGATGGATAACTGCTCGAAGTGGAGCCACGGATTTAGCTCACTAGTTAGTAAGTGGCTAAATGGTTTATTATCCACTATCTACCCAGTTGTGTTTGGGGTTTATTTAGCAGCTATCTAATTCTGCGGCCAGTCTAAGTGTCTAAGTGCAGTGCCTGTAGTTGCTAAACCTAAAGCTGGTGGGCATTTTTCCATGATTTCCCATGGTTTCAATCCCAAAATATCACACAATAGTTATATATCATAGTATATCCCCATGATTCCCATTGATTTCCCATGATTATGATTTCTAGTTTTTTCCAGGTGATTTTCCTGGTTTCCTGGTGCAGGCCACGGCTGCCGGGGTGCTGGGTGGAGCGGCCACCCTGGGCGTCAGTGGCGGGGCGACCGGCCTGGCAGAGACTTGTCATTTTTACGACTTGGTGTTATGGTGATGGGGTGGCAAAGTCTATGAACATGATTGAACATATATAGAAATTAAGAGGAAATTATGTTTTTGTTCCGGTTCCTAACGCTATTTTGTTTTTTTGGTTGGAAAGGAAGTAAAAAAAACATCTAGATCACTAGGAAAACCATCTGCAAAAACACTTGAAATCTTGTTTATAGCCATAAAAATTTGGTGAGCTAATTTGATTTAAATGGATTTAGCTCTATGGATTTCACTCCTTCCATATGGATTTAAGTCTACCCATATGCTATGGAGCGCATGGGCCATGATATCGACAGAACCATGAAAAATGAGTATGGCGAACAACATGGGATTCATGTGAGATCATGAAACATGCTGAACCACTGGGTCAATATATGGTTTCTGGATTTGACACCCCAAACGCGGCGAAATTCCGTACAAATGGGGGCCAAAACGAATCATCGAACTAAATGGTGGACGTTCCAGCAAGCCGTCTTAGATTACTAGAGGGTAACACTATGAACATGGTGAACAAGATGGGATTTAACGCTACTTTATGGGATATGATATTGAGTGGACTATCCTGGCAAGAGACCCCAAACAGTGTTGCAAGGAACATGACACTGAGATACTAGGCTAGATTCTGCAAGTTCCCTGTCTGAAGGTCTCTCTAGAAGATCGTGGGCAAGATCTCCCTTTGTAAAAAATGCTGTGCAAGATCCCTTTGTAAGGAAATCTATACAAGGAGTCTGTAAGAGATCTCCACGCAAGCTCCCTCTATGAGATCTCTAAGTAAGATTTCTGCATGAACTTTGTTATCAAAAACATGTTTTGACTTGGTGTTAACCATACATACCGTGTTGAATGCAGTAACCATGTGGATAGTATTGAACCAATGAATGATAGGTTTGAGGGTATCGCTTAAAAATGGGAGATACCCGCACGTGCCATCTCATTTGATGATGAACCAGTGGACTTTGGTGTTTTCTTATTGTGAGAGAAGCCCATATCAATGTTAACTAATCACAATGAGAACAGTATATGTACATTTTCTAAATAAACATAAAGAATATAATATATATATATATGTATATACATATATTATAAATATATATATATATATATATATGTATATATTACATGCACACACAATGCACATATATATATATATATATTACATTGTGCAAAAAAATATTACATTGTTTTTGACATTATATATGCATATCTATTTTTAAATATGTAAGATGCCCGCATCTACAAACAACAATATGATATGTGCCATGCAAACCAACACCATTGAGATACCATTGTTGTTTTTTCATTTTTTCAATCATTAGCGCCATGGACTGCGAACCGGAGGCTGGCACCGTGGTCGGTGGGGCCATCGGCGTGCTGCCGGCGCTTTTCACCTTCGGTTTGTCCATTCCCGTTGGCGCGGCCATCGGCGGAGGAGCAGGCACCCGTTGCCGTTGAGTTGTTGTTGTTGTTGTTGCTGTTGTTGCTGTTGCATACTGTGCAAAACAACTGTTATAGATATATATATGAGAGTTTGTTTTATTAACCCCGTAGTATTCATCAAATGAAAACTTATTGTAGGATTTTGTAACCTGGCAGCAATATGGCTCGAAACGCAGGCCGCGCAAGAGTGCGCAAGGGAGAGCGCAAGGATATTATATATACATGCAAATTTCGTTTTTATTTTCCTACATATTATTCCTTAAAGTATATTGCATGTATGTTTATGTAGGCCTGGAAGTGCTTGGGCACGAGGACATAGAACAAAATCGCAACGCCTCTCCTCCTGCGGTTTCCAGAAACACGGAATATTTTCCTACAAACCATCTCAGACACATTGCCAATGTGTGCGTGAGTGTGTATACGTGGGAGGTTTTGCAGTCGACGCCCGTATTTTTTCACACTTCCTTAGGAGGAAAAAGCGTACGTTCTCTTAATTCACCTTGGGGCTTTCGATTTCCAAAACGGCCTTTTTGGGACTCCAGTACTAAAACAAATCTTTGAAGAGAGCAGTCGACAGCCTTATTTCGTCACACTTTCCTTTGGGGGGTAAGCTTACGTTCTCTTAATTCACCTTGGGGCTTTTGATTTCCAAAACGGCCGTTTTGGAAATCAAATACTCAAACAAATCTTGGAAGAGGGCAGTCGACACCTCTATTTTAGCACACTTTCCTTTGGGGAAATGAGCTTACGTTCTCCTAATTCACCTTGGAGCTTTTGATTTCCAAAATGGCCGTTTTGGAAAGAAAGTATTCAAATAGATATTAAGGAAGTTGAGATAGCTTAGTGACAGGCCCAAAAGAGGTCTGAAACTGACCCGAAGCACCTTCCTACTCACCATCTCAGACACATTGCCCAAAGTGGCCTTTTTGGGACTCCAGTACTCAAACAAATCCTTGAAGAGAGCAGTCGACACCTATTTTGTGACACTTTCCTTTGGGGAAATAAGCTCACGTTCTCCTAATTCACCTAGGGACTTTTGATTTCCAAAACGGCCGTGTTTAAGTTCAGCTTCTTACGGAAAGAGGGCACAGCCCGTGAGCGCCCCCAAAAGGGTCTGAAACCGGTCTGAAACTGTTAACTGCTCACCATGTCAGACTCTATGCCTCTTCGGGTACAGCGTCATTGCTTGGGAATTGCAGGAGAAACTTGTAGATTGTGTGATTCGGTTCCATTACTGGACCACTTCGAAACGCCTTCCCGCTCACCATCTCAGACTCCACATTCTGTTCTGATTCCAGATCAATTTTTTAATGCCTGTATTTTTGTGGAACCGTGCTCATTAAAAACCATTCCAAAACCTTAATAGTGAATGAAACGCAGGCCGCGCAAGAGCGCGCAAGGGAGAGGCGCAAAAACTTCTAAATGGAAACAAACTTAAAGGAAATTCAAAACAAACCCCATATATTGTTTGGTATAGTATAGTCATAGTTTGCGCTTCTACTTGAGAACCAAGAAATGTCATGGTTTGCTGGACAAGTGTGTCATTTTTGTGATGTTTTTTGCATCTAATTATACAATTGTGAAAGAAGTGGATTTCTATGGGGGTCTCAGTCACAAGGAAGAGCACTAGAGATAATCAGAATGCACTGGCAACGCGAATCCAACATATACCCTCTGGTAATTTAACGTAGCTATTGAAAATGATAATTTATATATAGTGGATTTTCCCATAAAAAATGGTGATTTTCCATAGTTATGTTAGTTTACCAGAGGGTAATACAATTTTTCCACAGGTGCAAAAAAAATTGACATCTGACCGAGATGAATTGATTGGACGTCTTGTCCCCAAAAAATTGGTCTCTCTGAGGTCTGGCCGTGGGCGCCTCCGTAGGCGCCATGGCCGGCAGCGTCACCGGCGGCGCAGCCGGGTACCAGGCCTACGCCAAGAGGGAACAGCGCCTCGGTGTGTCACAAAGGTGGGGAAATCCCGGCAATTTCACCTGGGAAACATGGGGATTTCACCAGCAAACATGTAGAATTTACATGAGTTTAGCAATGACTGATTCGGAATTGCCTGAAAATGAGGTGAACCCCTTTAAACAAAAAAACAGTGGGAAAAATGATGATTCACCATCAGATTTAGGGATATCCTATCAGACAAACCCATATATATATATATATAGTATGGTTCAAAACCTATAGTGTCCGTTTTTTTGGGGATGAGCATCCATAAATCCCAGTTTTAAACTACCAACATACCGGGTTTTTGATCCACAGTCACAGCCATGTTTGATGCACTGATGTGGATCCAATACCTTGGTATGCCGGTCATAGCTATGCAGGACATCGTTACTAATCTTTGCTACTGATGTCGCTGGGGCTAATTTTTAGATGTTTCACCATGCAAAAGAGCTGTTTTTTGGCCACTGGAAACCAGAAAACAGGTTTCCCGTTCGGAAAATGATCGACAATCATGGTGGATCTTCCACATCTGAGTTGGTGAACTGAGGATTGGCGAGTTTCGCACCAACACGGTGAACAAGGCACGGTGGGATCACCCCAAGGCTGAGTTCATAGCTTTGTTTTGGTCACAAGTCCCAGGGAATCATAAATTGAAAATATATAAACGTGACATCTGGAGGTTTGGAGGTGTATTGGTCAGGTTTAGTTGCCCATATTATCAATTTTGAGCCCCATGTAACTTCTTTGTCAAGACTATTTCAAACATCAAAACACCCTGCTGACTGGTCTGACACGTCATGGCAACAGCCTACAGCTGTCAGAACCCTCTCTGCCATTCCCAGCATCGAATGACTCTGTTTGAGCGGGTTTCTGTGTAGCAGTCAACGTGTGCGGATCACCTAGCAAAACCCCCTAAAAACATTGTTTTTTTTTCCAGTTGTGGCAGGTTACCAGCGGTGTGGATGCAGTTGCTTTGGCCAACAATGAGAATCCAGTTATCGCCGTTCTATGCGATGCATGGGTTTCCAGATGTTTCCGGTGACCAATTTTTTATTCACGAACATCGTGGCATGCGAACATCCAGAGGTTCCGTTTTTCCCCATGTGTTGAGGTTTTTCATGAGAGGGATATCCACTAAAAGTGGAGGTGAAGAACAGCACCCTACAACTAAAGTGATGACTGGTATTTCGACATATCTTGATCTTCACTTGACCCGTAGTTGACTTGAGTTCATAGGTGTAGATGCAACAATTCTATCCCAATTAAACCCTATATTGCGCATTATCCAATCATTATTACATAAGCCTGACAATGGAAATCCGCCACGTTATGCCGATGAAACTCCTTTCGGAAATGTAAAAGTGTTCCAGTCTGCTATGTTTGGGAGCGTGCCAGGGTACCCGCAGACTTTACTTGGAGTTACGTACTCCAGGATTAACTTCTTCTAATTGAACCGACACTCATCAACCCCCATTGTTATGTGATATTATTTCAAATTATTTCTGTTTTGGTTGGCATATACTACACTGTTACTATAGACATCGAATTCAAATGAGCATGGCAGGGTTGGTGAAATGGTCCAATTAAACACCACCCAACCATTGGCAACATTGCGTGCACCAAGTATGCAATAAGGGGATGCTTGAGGAATCGGACATACCGGACATACAAATTTCATAAGCTGTACCCACTTTTGCTAGAAAAGGATGATGGAAACCGTTCCCTTTTCATTACGACTTCTACTTGGGTTTTGTCTGCAGGGGATACAAAAACAAATAGTATAATTAATGGGAAAAATGATGATCATCCACTGGCATAGTCCCTTTCAGACAAACCCTTTTGAGTTCACCAGATTATACATATATATATATATATTGGAGTAAGCCTGGGAGTATAAACATTCCCCAGAAACAAGATGAAAATCGTGGTTTCGGCTGTGGCCAAGCAGCCGGCCGAACCCCCGGCAGACTAGGCGGCAACGTGCCGGTCAAGTTAGCAAAAATGCGAGGCAAAAAAGAGCAGCAAACCGAGTCGAAATGTTGCCTCAAAAGGCACAACCTGGCACCAACATAAATTATTTATAGTTATTTGCTTCCAAGTTGGGATGCGCCTGGCATTACTTCAATAGTTCACTGCCGGACACCAGGTGCATACCGGGCTTTCATTATCGCTTTTAGCGCCATGCCAAGCTGATGGCTAAAGGTCTCCAGCGTCCAGCGCCGCGCATTGGACTGGACAAGTTGGTTGCTTGGACCTTGATTTCAGAGCAAAGCTGCTCAAGCAGCCGCCGCCCCTCAGGCAAGCAGTGCTGAGCTGACAATTCAGCTGAAAACTGTTTTGGAACCAGAACGCTTAATTTGTGACGTTGTGATGGGGCTTGCGTTGGAGACGGCGGGGGCTTGGCAGAAACCTGGGAATAACAACTTGACGCAAACCTGACGGCTTCGCGCTAACCTTGCAGAAGCCCGAGGCTGGCGGAAACCCGCCCGGAACCTACCACAACCCGGCAAAACCTGGCGGAACCTGGCGGAACCCGGCGGAACCCGGCGGAACCCGGTGGAACCCGGCGGAAACCTGGCGGAAACCTGGCGGAACCCGGAAAAAAGTAAGTTGAAGGGGGGAGGGGTTGGGAGTATAAACCATGCCAAAAGTTATACTCCCAACCCCCCCCTTCAACTTACTTTTTTCCGGGTTCCGCCAGGTTTCCGCCAGGTTTCCGCCAGGTTTCCGCCAGGTTTCCGCCGGATTCCGCCGGGTTCTGCCGGGTTCCTCTGCCGGGTTCCTGCCGGGTTCCGCTGGGTTCCGCCGCTCCGCCGGGTTTCGCGAGGTTCCGCTGGGTTCCAGGCTTTCTCAGGTCAGTTCCGCCGGGTTTTGCCGGGTTTGCGCCACGAGGTTCCTGCTCCCGACCCCCCCTTCAAATTATTGCTAAGATTATTCAGATTGTGCCAGGTTCTTGCCAGGTTCTTGCCAGGCGTCTGCCAAGGTTGCGGCAGTCAAAGAAGCGTTTTTTGCAAGTGCCCGCGCATTGTCCAAGTCAGCTTATGGAAAAAATAACCAATAAGATGGCTTCCCTGGTGGAGTAGCAGATCTTTTTTGCTGGGACCCCATGCAGAGGGGGATGCAATATTGATTTTCATTGTTCACATTGAAAAATGCCAACATGTACCAACTTTCATTGACTTTTGCATTGAACATATTTGCCATTGAAAATGTCCGGATATTTGGCTTGGCCAGAGCTAGTTCGCGCGCTTTGCCGCGCCTCTTGCCGGCACATTTGCCCCTAATTTTGTTTGTCCATCACTGCTTCGGATGCTCTGCCATTCCACTTGCCGGCACAAATGCCATGCTTTTCGTTCCCACAGAGTTAACCACAGGTCCTGCCGCTAAGTTTGCCGGCCACAAAACCAAAGAAATTTGGTTTCTTGAGTTGCGCCGGCCCTTCTGCCAGTGGTTTTGCCATCCCTTTAGCCTCAGTTTTGGGCCAGTTTGGCCCAAAAAGTAATTATGAGTGTTTATACTACCTCGCTACTTTCAATATATATATATATATACTACATATATTATGTGTTATATTCTGTATAAGTACAGGTACAGTCAATAGTCCAATTGATTTGACGTCTGAAACTTCTTGGATGTTTGTTTTGCTCCCAACGTCATTCGTGCCGTTGGTGAGTGAATTCTTTTGGATTGGTATGACCCTTGAAGTCAGCATGTGGTTTGTACCCTCTGGTAAACTAGCATAACTATGGAAAATCACAATTTTAAATGGGTAAATCAACTATAAATAACAATTTTCAATAGCTATGTTAGTTTACCAGAGGTAACTGGGGTAGCCAGCTGCTTATAAGATTAATATACACATGAGAAGGATAAACTATCTCCTGTTATCAACCGTTTGGGTCTCTATCTTCAAGAAATCATCGCAAGAATATGGGTGTACATGGGTATACCGCTATACCCAAAAATCGACATAAACTGATCCCTACAATTAGATGTTTAGCCATGTTTAACCTCTTTTGGATTACATGGGCACACCATTTATCCAAGCAACTTTCCACTGAGGTGAAGGGAAAAGGTGTGGCCTCCGCGTACTGTGGCGGGAACCGGAGTGGGAACCGGAGTGGTCCGAAGTTGATGATCAAAACTGGAAGAGATGAAGAGTCTGTGCTCCATGGTGCACGAATGGGTCATATTTGTGGGAAGTGTTAGTCAAAATTTCAGCACCAGGGAGCATGTAAGGGTATAGTGATACATCTACTCACAGAAGCGGAGTTTCAACCTCCTGGGGTGTTTCAGTGTGCTCTATGGTGCATTATCCCTCTCACGCACTTTTGGGGAATTTTGCATCGTCTCAGTTCCATATATACATGAATTTTCTACCGCAACATGGGGTTTCTAAGCATCCCTCATTTACATGAACCATTTCTGGAGGTGGATGTGGGTCAAGATTCTCACCCTCCCAAGTAATCGATGGCAGATCGATGGCTGATGTAAGGCCAATGACATCCAATGACTACAGGAACGACCACCGATTTGTTGTGAAGGTCATGGTACCCCAATGACCCCCCCAACTCCGAAGCGATCAAGGCAGTACCTTCGAGACAAAGCCTCTGAAGCGTGCCAGCGCTTGGGCCGCAGCGCCACAGCGTGAGCGCGTGGCGGTTTCGGGCCCCGTTTTGCGATAGATCCGATAGATGGATGGTGAATGGTGTCTGGGGTGAAACAGCTATCAGCTGATATTTTCGAGGCCCATGGGGGCGGGTGTTTGAACTGAATTGGTGATTGAAATAGTTGACATTTCAAGGTCCATTGGGGGCGGCCCATGGGGGCTGAGGGTTTGAAAAGACTGAATTGGTGATCTAAAGGACATCCTGTCCAAGACATAAGAGCTGCGATGGCGCCGCTCGGTTCATTTTGCAGTACAGGGGCATTTCATGTCCAGTTGTTTTCCATGCACGCTTGGTACACCAGAGCCGGTGGTCGATGAGCATTTCAACAGAATGACTCATAACCACCGTGGTGTTCGATTCAATTCGGATTGCCGGGAGCACAGCCCTCGGTTTAGAGTTGTGGGCATGGTGGCCGGTGACTCTTAAAATAGAAAAACCATCTCCTGACAACAATTTTGAGTGGATCATTCCTCCATATGGATGGTTTTTCCACTGGCCTCCATGGGAAATGACTGCCTCGGGCGAGATTCGGTGCGACGCAACTGTGAGACTGAAGATGTGGGATCAGGGAAGGGGAGACCAACATGTGATCCAGTGATATAATGGAGAACCAAAAAAAAACAATAGATATGGTGAAGAAATGGGATTTAATCCTTTCCCCCCAATACTAACCCCCCTCCCCTTGTAGTTAGATGGATTTAGTATTTGGGTAGGAAGCTTCCTCCTAATAATGAAATTGAAACCTTAATCAAAAAGAATAAACTTTAGAGTATTCAAAGAGTTGAAAATCAATTAGAATTTCTTATTAAATTCTGTAAGATATTGCCAGAACTTGGATTTCAATGCTTTCCCTAATAACAAAATCAAAACTTCAATAGACATATATGTTGAAAATCGATCAGATCCATTATTAAAATGTAATTTGAATGTTGCCAAACAAACCGAAGCGTTCTCCTGATAAATTAATCACACTAAATTTATACATTTCAAAATCGACGAAATCCCTGTTTATAACTAAACTATTGCCAAAGATCTAATGTCGAAGCTTTCTCCTGACAATAAAATCAACACTTTAAGAAGAAACACTAAATTTGTCCATTTCAAAACCGCTGAAATTCCTTATTGAAATGTAATTAACATATACGATAATATATTTATTCCATGTGTATAGTGCATTTTTTTAGATGGAAATTCCTTTGGAAAAGGGCGGTGGAAGGCCCAGAGTCAAACATGTTGCTATTCAAAACCATGGTTTGCGGGAAATCCCTAGGTTCAGGAGGAGTACACTAACATAGATGACATACCCTCTGGTAAACTAACGTAACTATGGAAAATGGCCATTTATAGTGGATTTTCCCATTAAAAATTGTGATTTTCCATAGTTATGTTAGTTTACCAGAGGGTAGATGACCATTGATCATTGAAACCCAGGGTTTCATCATGGGTTTCCCATATCGTTCTGTATGTTTACCCAAGCGTAAACCGTATCATGCATAAAAGGATGTAATTATATATGGTCGGGAATCCGGGAACAGTTTTGCCAGGTGTATTTTCGTTGCCATTTGCAGTGCGATGTTTTCCTGTCGGGTATGTCCCATGTTATGGGACACCCAAACGGTTAACAGTTTGATGTACTCTCTGGTTATTTCATGTAGCGAACTGGAAAATCACTATTTTGAGTAGGTAAATCATCATAAACTATATATATGGTTGGTGGTTTGGAACATGTTTTTTTTTCCATTCAGTTGGGAATAAGAATCATCCCAACTGACGGACTCATATTTTTCAGAGGGGTAGGGCTCAACCACCAACCAGATTTGATAGTGAAGTTATTGCACCATAGCTAACCTCCAAGTAACAATTACAAGGAGATATGGGGAACGTGATGATCAACCCTAGGATTCGGCAGAAAATGACAAATAAGGAGGGGAATACTGTGGTTGATAGATGGTAAACTGGTAAACATCCCATCATTTTGTTGGGGTTTCAACCATCCGAAATTGGTGGTGCAGGATTTCGCGTGCCCATCCACAGTAGTAGCTCATGGTTGTTCGGCTAAATAGAGGTCATAACTGGTAATAATTAATCATTGATAATATGATAATCCCACTTAGTACCTGACAAATAACCCTTGATTTTTCTGAGCAATAAACAGAGAATCCCGTAATAGTATTAGGAAGATCTTAGTCAGCAAAACCCCGCTTTGATCAGCTACTTGGGAGTGCATTCCAAGAGGTGTCAGTGATTAATTGTACACATATATTACCTGGTTGCTGGTTTGGAACATTTTGTGTTTTTCCAGATATTGGGAATAATCATCCCAACTGACTCATATTTTTCAGAGGGGTTGAAACCACTAACCAGTTACTCTCTGGCAATCTAACATAGCCAATGGAACATTGATGTTTCGGGTGCGTTATTCATTAAAACGGTGATTTTCCACTTGGTATTTGGGATGCACATCGTACTTAGATGAACCATGGAGTGAGTTAACTAGTTTGTAAATGATTTACTAGTATACAGATATACTATCATAATTTTACATATAAGTGATTATACTAAACAGTTCCCTAACTTCATCACCCATTCAAGCACCCTTCTCCTGCAGTTCCTACCGGCTCAAGCTCGTCGCTCGCAAGCTTCTTGCCTTCTTCCCCCCCCGCGAGCCGCCCAGCTGCAAAAACCATAAGCCTTCCAGCATTTGTGCCCAGAAACATAGACACGTGCAAAATCCTTGTGGAAAATAGTGGTACTAAGCCTTCAGACTTTAACTCTGTCTGAATCTTCTGGGATTTGTTTGGTATTCTTTGGGTATTCAGAGACATACTCAAGGAAGATGTTTATGATTAGCCTGTCCCCAAGCATATATCCAAACAATGCGAAATGTGGTACCAATCATAGACTTTGAACCATCCGCGCATATATTTTCATGTACACCCTCATCAAACTCTGTCTTGAGTTTTGGAATCACGGTTATACGAGGAACCAGATGAAATCATATTTTCACATATACATCATGTATCCCTGTATTTCATCTTGCACTTTAAACTTGTTTGATATCAAAACAACAAAATAATATACCACCATCTCTCCAACTGGCATAGACCTTTAAAGGCGCCCATCCCAATGTGGAAAACTCCCCATACAAACTCCTGGCATGGTCTATGTTTGTTGGAGGCGAACAACATCTCAGTATTGAACCATCGAATTTCCATCACACCTAGATACATCGATGGCTAGATTGATAGATCGATAGCAAGATTGTTGGACCGATAGCTAAATGATGCTAAATGTATAATAATGTATACATGTGCAGTCATGTGCATGTTTTTTGAAATATAGATCATAGTAATGTTATTAATAGTTTTAAAGTTTTAAACAGATAAGACGTAGGCAGTTTCTGTATAGACATGATTATTTGACACATGTTATATAGTATATACTGTACACATATATATATATGTATATGAATAAATCTTGGCATCAAACATGGATAGATAAATTCACCATTTCCCCAAACACAATATATCATATGTCGAAAATGATACAGGATCATACATATACTTAAAATACATATGTAGACTATAGATGATTCTAGATCTTCCCATGATTTCCCTTAGTCCATAGAATTAATAGGGACTCCCAATGATGCTCGATATGGACTCCCGTTAATGTAGATGTAGATATAGATCCAAAAATATTTTAACTGTCAATAGATAATCGTTGGTAGCAAAAATGGATCTAGTTAGCAGTAATTCTGTATTGTATATCTATCACTATAGATCAGGACTTTCCTGTATACATACATAGCTATAGTTATCAATAGATAGGTTATAGATCTTTGCCAATTAGTTTGCATATATATATATATATACATAGACTTTGCCATAATGATAAGCGATGAATCTATACTTAAGGTATATTGCCAAACAGAAAGAAATATATATATATATATATACACATTATGTATATATATATATACACAGTATATATGCACATGTTATATATATACACCATCATCATCATCTTCCCATGATCATCCGACTGAACTGCCCAGGTCATGGCCGAGATCCCCAAGTCGAACGGCGCCGCCAAGAGCCCTGTCGCCGACGCCAAGGCAGCCTCGCCCACTACGCCCGTCAAGAGCCCTGTGGCGAAGGTGGCCGGCCATGGCGGCCATGGCGTGTTTTTGGAAGCAAGAAATGGTGGATTGAATCATCCGAAATGGTGAATTTCCATTGGATTTCCCCATCCGAAATGATGATGAAATGCTGATTGAAGCAGCAGAAATTGTGAATTCACCGGCAACAAATTGTTTTTTGGAGCTTTATCATTGACTTTCCCGCCTTGATCCAGAATCGAATAGCCATGTTTTCGGGGTCAACCATTCAATTCAACCTTATTCAGTCCGTCTTTCAGAATGTACAAAGCCACCGTTGGTTGATGATTGGATGGGTTAATTATACGGTATACGGATCAAAATGCTGGAGTTTATCGCCCCTCATGGGGGTCCCTTTAAACCCAGCAGTATGATGGAACAACCAAGCCACCAAGGGCCTTGAACACTGCTCAAATGAGGATGTATTGGGGATTTGAACATGAGACATGGTGGGTCTCAGGGCTTTCCTGAAATTGCACTGCTTAGCTGAGACAGTAGCATTGTACTCGTACCGCTGTTCATTGCTTGTGAAACAGGGCGTGCGAACAACCTACGTAGTCTCATGCTAAACAGGGAGGGTAGCATGGGGTTCAACCAACATTCTCAAACATCCAGTCCGGTCACGGTCCGCCGTTTTCTGCCCACAAGTGCGATGCCAATAGGTTGAAGAAAAGCCCCTGGAATCGCCGTCGCGCTTGGTGGCACTCAAGGAGGAGGGGGCCAAGGCGAGGCGCCAAGTCAATAGAAATGTGGTGGTGACGACTGGGGATCCCCCATGACTTACAGTTATGGCCATGGCTATTTGTTTTAACATGTTTTAACTGGTTATTTCTATGGGATTATACTGACCTATAAATGGGCTTATGTCTGTACTTATAATTAACTGGTATTTCGGGCCAAAACTGTAGGAAAGCTCCAGAGAAGTTGGCGAACAGAACTCCAACTATAGGACTGGTGGATACTTATGGTAGATATGAATCGAACCATAGTTTAGAGTGAGAGTTGGTCTTTTAGACTGATATAAGTATAGTTTATGGCAGCTTTATGGTAGATATATGTATAGTTAATGGGATTATAAACCAGTCAACAAAATTCACTTGAGGGGAACCACATTGTAATCCTGCGTTCTCTCTGGCCAAGTCTACAACAAATTGCATGCGGAAAAGAAGTGACAGGCTATGAAATGGTGCAAACCCACTCCAGCGCTTTGGTCAAAAGCAGTTGGATTATATTTCTACACTGTTGGGGGATGGTCATACCACCATTGATAGGGAATTAGAATGGCGAATATAAGGATTCCCGATAATGATGGAAATCGCCATACCCCATATTCCAGGTTTTGACCATGGCACATATGTATCTATATATGGGTTTACAGTCAGTTTACCTGGTGCGGTGCCTTGTTGCTCGCACCCTTAGTTGAGGCGAACAGTGATTTGATCTTGGGGTTGACTGGGTGACTAAGTTTTGCCGCGTCAGTGGTGATATTCTATTTTCCATGTATGAATCCACGGTATGGCGAATCGATCAGGACTATGTGCTTTACCCTTTTATGCCCCCCTTAAGAAAATCATAGCAAATCCAATATAAGAACAGCATTTCTTGCCATCAGAATGAGGTCATGGTGCCACAGGGAAAGCATAGGAAGGCATGGCTTGCAATTAAAATCATCAGTTTACAGATAGGTGCTACCCTCTGGCTATTTAACATAGCCATGGAAGCCATGGCCCATAGAAATAGATGGTTTACCTATTAGTAGCATGGTGATTTTCCATGGCTATGTTAGTCATAACCAGATGCTATAAGAAACCTCTTGGCTCCACAAGGCTTCACAAGCTGCAAATATGGTTTCCCGAAGCGTTGACGTTGACGCTCTCTCCGTCGTCCGTGGAACCCAAAGGACCCAGATTTGAATCGTAAGGTATTGAAGATTGTCTCTGCTATGATTTAATTTCTATATATATATATATTGTTACTATTTGTTGCTAATTTTCATATTTTTTTTACATATATGTATATATATATTGTTAGATTTATATAAATTGTCTAGACTCTAGATATCACATACTATAGATTGATGGGTATGCCCAAGTATATAGTGTTGATTTTATCATCATTATACCTCCATTGATGGTTGGTTTAAGTTTAATTCCCAACTGCAGATCCATAGAGGCCATATGCACAAAAGGTCAGTTTTACCCATTGACCATATCCCCATTTGACGAGTATATCCCCATGGAAACTTTGTTCGATGATTTACCGAACTTAAAAATGATGGTTTTCCATAGCACATTGTCAGATTACCGGAGGGTAAATATGATTATTGACAATTCCTGCGCTAAATGGAGGTTTTATAGCTGAGAAAATCATCGAACAAAATCGGTGATGTTCCAGCTAGCCATGTTTGATTCCAGGAGAGTATTGGATCCAATCATGTCACAATTGTATTCCATCATGGTTGTTTTTACAGAAGTTAACCTAAAACCACAAGTTATGATTTAACCCCTTTGGTAACTTATTCCCAACTATATCCCCAACTATCACCCCAAAAAGTTGATGGTTACTACCTACATACGGAGATTCGCGTTTGATTACCAGGGTGTAAACATTGACTGCCCAACCCGGACGTTGCTCCACACTTACAATTATCATCATCATCATCATCATCTTCATCATGGTCTCATCATCAGCATCTCACCACCACCACCACCACCATCATCATCATCATCATCATCACCAGCGTCACCTCATATGTAATGACGTAATACCATCAACTTATATGTTTTATATTCATAAGGGATCATAAATCCGCCACCCTCTATGACAAATATGTTGAATGGGGTAATCACATCAACTTATCTTCATAAGTGATCAAACCTCCACCACCCCTCTGGCAAATATGTTGATTATCAACTTATCTTCACAAGGGATCAAAAATCCACCACCTTCTCTGACAAATATGCTGAATGGGGTAATCACATCAACTCATCTTTGTAAGGGATCATAAACCCACCACGCCCTAAAACAAGTATATCTTCGTAAGGGATCCAGAATTCTTCACCCTCTTTACCCTCTTTGGCAAATTTGCTGATTCTGATAGTAGCATCAAATCACCTTGATGAAGGATGATGATGATGATGAAGATGACGATGACGATGGTGGTGATGACGATAATGATGATTCTGATTATGATGATGATGATCATCATGGATCACATATACATCTACAGACTGAAAGTCCACCGACATGGCATTTCAAAAATTCGCAACCCTTTCGCAATTCCGGCGCGGAGCAACGTCAGGGTTGCACCGAACATTGTTATTCCCGTTTTTCGACCAGAGTTGATGGTTAAATCACTATCTCTTTGATTATTCCATTACCAGAGTTACGTTCATCAACTTAGCTATCATAAATCAGCTATAATTCCCAATTAAAAAAGAAAACATGTTTCTTGGTGAAATGGTTACACTTTCCTATGGTTTCAAACGGGGGTACCACCTTATACATTCATATATATAAACATATTTGGGGGAATGACGATCCATTAACCAGCTTTGACTTTGGGTACCATCCGGGCACCAGGGTTTCCATTCCCATGTGTATATATATATATATACATACACATTTATTTATTTTAGGTTCCCCGCAAATCATCCATTTTAAAAGGGTTGTCCATTATAAATCATCCAGCTCTTGGGTTATACCCGTTTAAGAAGTGCCGTTGATCAAATATATTTATATATGTATATAATTCTGTGCATATATATATACATGTATATATCACATCCCAACAAAAACAAAAAACGCCCAGCACCCCTAAAAAAGGCGGCCGCCAGGTATTGACCGACGCCAAAGCCAAGGCACAAGAGGTGGCGCGCAAGGCGGAACTCGGACAGGGCGTTGACCAAAAGGTCGAGCGTTTGAATGGAATATATTGTGTATATATATATACACTACAGGGATGTATATGGATATATTAGTGATATATTGGGTAGAATTACTATATTTTAGTGATATACAGCCTGAATGTTGTTGTTTTGTGATTCCTTCACTGTTGATAATTTCCTCACTGTTGATAATTCCTCACTGGAATGTGAGTGATATACTTAGTGGATATTTTAGTAGTTCCTCATGTTGTAGAAGCTTATCTTTGCGACGTACAACCCTCACTGTTCTCCCTCACTGGAATGATGGTTCGGATCCATGGTGATGCCTACATTGAACTATTGAACAGCATTCGAAACCATGGCTTAGGTCAGGGAAATTCCACATAATTGAGACCATTAATCCACATAATATAGGTGATTGATGTTAGGAAAGCGATAACAAACCACCCATGTGTTGATGGTTTATACCACTAGAACCATAAAGAAAAAAACAGGTTGATTGGTTCCCAGAGCCATTTAAAATACCCTGGTTCATTGGTTACTACAGGGACTTATACTATCATCTGGTAATTTAACATAGCTATTGGAAATGGCCATAGAAATAGTGGATTTACCCATTAAAAACGCATGGTGATTTTCCATAGTTAAGTAAAGGTTTACCGGAGGATATCTAAGAAATACTGGGGATGAGGATTGGCTATTTCAGGAAGCGATAAAAATTTAAGGTACCGTAACCTTTTTTCTCAGGTCGCCAAATTTCAGGGGATGGTCCTCCCTCCTGGTTTTCTATGGCTTGAGAAATGGTACGTCATACCTCCAGTACCAATGTACCTGAAATGGACATTTTTGGGTGATTATAAATCAATCTCCACAAATCACCATGAACTCACCATAAATCCCCGTAAATCCCAATATATAATCATTATATATATATTGGGATTTACGGGGATTTATGGTGAGTTCATGGTGTTTGTGGAGATTGGACTCTGGACTTCTGAAAAAAAATGGTGAATCATTTGGATTTCACAGATTTCACAACCGCAATTGGATCATGAACACACATGAAATATAACTATCTGGGTAAATTATGGTAATGAAACGACCCACATGGGTTAGTAAGGGGAATCATCCCAATTTTTTTGTGGGTAAATATCATGAACACTATCAATTGGAGCATATGGGTGATAAAAATTGGTAAATTATAACGACCTCACTGTTCTCCCTCACTATAATCATAGTTAGGATTTGGGGAATCATCCCAAAATGGCCGAACTATTCAGGTTAGTGAAATATTGTAATTTACCCAGAACTATGAAACATGGATTGAAGAATTCACCATTAGAAAGTCATATTTAAATATAGTTTATCTTAAGAATGGATTTGGGTTCCCAAGTTTTAGAGACAGCCTTGAAAACCATGCGGGTTTTACTTTTGTTCTATGATTGTTTTGGTTTTGAATTTTAAATTACTTTCTGTAGGTAAATATTGATGATGACTAATTAAATATGGTTTAATGGATTTTCATTGATTTTACTGAGCATGTTTTCAGGAACCAGATATTGTTCTCGTTTATAGAAACATTCCCGTCATCCCTGCTTGTTTGGGGTGAAAAAAACCATAGGAATTCAGTGAGTTATCCATCCCCACCAGCTGCCATTTTGAAAGTATACGATGTATACCCCATTGAAAGTTAACACACTCAAATCCAGCCTTAATGGGTTAGACATGCTTATATAAATCCAATTTTGATGGTTCCCGACTTTTGATAGTTATTGCATATACTAACTTTAGACTTTATATGATTACATCTATTTTTTTTATGGTTCACTCGCCATTTTGCGGGTCCACTGGTAGCCATGGATACAATGTGGTGCCCCGCCCCCTTATCAGTTGGTTTGTAATCCAATCAACTATAGATATATCTACCATAAACTATAGTTAATTAGGAGAATTATAAACCAACTTAGCTATCATAAATCAGCAATAACTCCCATTAAATCACCATTCTCCTATGGTTTCCAAACGGGTTTCCGTTTCGCAACTCCGTGTCTTTTTCCGCAGGTTCAGTCCGCAGAGCCTGTGAATTCTGTGATGACCAAGGCTTCACAGATGAGGCGAACAGTGAAGGGCAGGGAATGAACATGGGAATATAGGGAGCGTTTGAAAGTTACCACTTTAAGGGTTGAAACATATACTAATAGGTAGAAACCACTTTGGAACATATATATATATATATATGGGAACATACTAATAGGTAGAAACCGTTCTTCAAGATGTTTTTTTGGATGTAGATGGATTTTCATGGCGATTTTCATGAGAGATTTCGGGGGATTGAATGGAATTTAGGGTTTTTTATACCTCCTGGTAAATATTAGCTATGGAAAGTAACCCATGGGCCATGGAATCCAGTTCGCAGACTGTGCGTTGCTCCAGAGGGATATGACTGACCCATAATCTGGGTTCATGTTTGCGCAGGTCTAAGATATCTTTGGTGAATACATTTATATAAATTGAATAGAAACGAAAGATTGTAATCCTAAGGATTTTGCGCGTTTCCCTTCAAAAAAAAACAGACAAACCAAGAAGAGCCATGGTCAAAACATAGATTAGTAGCGGGATAACCAACATATCACAAACATACCCTATATGCTCCATGTATGGAATATTTACCAACATTTCCCCTAAAAATCACCCAAATGCAGGTAAATATACCATACATGGAGCATATGGGATATATATATATAGTTCCCACCGAAGTTCCCAGCCCAATTCCTAACTACTCGTAGTCAGTACGTGGGATCATAGTTCACTCATGGGATAACTCACCAAAGGTGATTGATCACCAAGGTAAATAGTCAGTTACCAAACGGGATGATAATCCAAATAGGGATATAACCATATACATCTGGTTTACAGATTTTGGAAGAGCTGAACATGGGGATGTGGAGTTAACTAACCACAAAAATGGGATATATACTGCATGAGCACCAGTAAACAAGAAGGATGTGACCCAGCACGTTGTAGATCGGCTGCCGTCAATATTTCAGGCCGTTGAGTTACTACGATGTTGGTTCAATCTGCATACGCCTCAAACAGTTGTGGTTGCTAAAATTATCCAGATTGGATAATGTGGTACAGCATCCCTAATATCTTAAGGATGGTTGGGAACATGTTGGAACCACGAGTCAGTAAACAGCAGTTGCCATTCAGTCCCGGCATCACAGAGATTCAATAGACATGGTCTTTGTTCGTGTCAAGCTCTCGTTGGTGTACCTTATTTGCTCCATGTTGCTCCGTAATTTTATTTTGTGTCTTCTATCATCTAGCTCACAATCAAAATTCACCTAAGTTAAATCCACATTTAATAAAAAATCATATAATGTTATCCTCTACTACTTGCTAGTGATCCCCCCATTTCCATCCAGAGGGTGTTCCATCGGAAATTGATAAATCCCAGCCATGTTTGACGTATAATTTTACATACCCTCTGGTAAACGTTTACATAACTATGGAAAACCACCATGCTATTCATTGGTAAATCCAGTATTTCTATGGCCATTTTCAATAGCTATGTTAGTCATTACCAGAGGGTAATTTCACATTTTTTTAAACTGCTGAAATCATCATTAATGTGGTTGAACCCACGTCAAGCCTACAATTTTGCTCGGTAAAACTTCCTTCTGAACCGCCAATTGTTGATGGTTTAAGCATCTTTCCCCCCCAAAAAAAATGAACGAAATCCATGTTAATCCCGCTATGTTCCCATTGTTTGATTGCTAGAGTCACTTAGATCCAGAGAAAATTCCCTACAAAATGCTGGATTTGCTGAGGATTTTAGTTTTTTCCCATTGGTTAATTCCTGATGACTGGGGAAACCTACTGGGATGATCGTGGCAGAGTCCATGTTTTTTGTGTTGGTTGCCCGGCCCGGTAAACATACATAGATAGCTATTGAACAGTGCCATAGAAATAGTTGATTTATCCATAAAAAATGGTGAGTTTCCATATAGTTATATAGTTATGTAAACGTTTACCAGAGGCTAAAGTTTTCAATTTCTGTTGCGTATCTCCATAAATCATCATTTTCTCCACCAGTCGCAGAGAGATTTCCCAGCGTTCAAGCTTCATCTAAAGGAGATTTCCCAGCTAGCCACGTTCGATTACTGGAAGGTAGATCATATGATATGCCCATCAAATCATCAAATGGTTGGTGAAAATACCATATAATCATCCCAAAATATTCTCAAATCATCCAAGAAAAATAGAGTATTACCAAATAGATTCAGAGAAATTCATCATTGTCCATCCATAAATCCATTAAAATCATCAAACCCTCTGGTAAACTAACATAACTATGGAAAATCGCCATTTTTAGTAGGTAAATCAACGAACAAAATGTGTCATTCTCAAGAGCTATGCAACAAATTACCAGAGGGTAAGTGCTTAATAACCATAGTTAGTTCACCCATTGATTGGACACTCCGCTTAGGGTGGTATGGCTTAGTTGTGGTTGCTGTAGTTGATAAATCCTCATAAATCATCATAAATCTTCAGACATCATCATACATCATTAGACATCATCGCAAATCATCATTTTCCATCTATAAAATACCCTAAAATCATATGAATACATATAAAAATCATCATAAAATCATCATGATTCCCCCATCTATGGGTGGTCAAATCCCTTCATGGAGAGGAGCTCTGCCACCACCGCGGCTGCGGATGCCTCGGGTGCAGTGATGGAGTGCTTGTCGAAGCTGAAGAGCGCGGCAGGCGGCGGAGATCTCCGAGAAAACACAGGTGAATTTATAGGAGAGTGTTATTTTAATGTCAACCTGAAACTTCTGAAGTCCTTGAAAATAATCCGCTCTCCCTATTATATACTAAAACACCACCCCCAAATGGTAAACACGGTGATCTATATAGTTTAATATTAGGGGGGTATTTTGTATTAGGGTGCCCTTAATATTTCAATGAACACCTTAATAACAAAAAATAAATAAAAAAAACATCTTTCAAATTTGATTAAATCCCTTATTAAAACCTATACAACATATTGCCAAAAAATGGATTTTGATGCTTTCCCCTAATATTCCAATGAAAAACCCTAATAATAAAAATAAACAACAACTCAATTTCAAAATTGATTAAATCCCTTATTAAAATCTATATAAACTATGGCTTTATAGTGGATTTCCAGAATTTTACATATCACCTATAATACACAATTTTATAAAGTCAACATTAAAATTCTAGGAGATTTATCCAAGAAAAGTGATGATTTTGATAGATTTTATTTGATTTTATCGCCAACACATGTTACTTTATAGGAGATTTATCCAAAACTCCAAGTGATATATCCATAATTTTAATTGTCACCTACAAAAAAATATGTAAGGTCGACATTCAGATTATAGGAGATTTATCCAAGTGATTATTTTGACGTGATTATTAGGACGGAAGGAGAAAGTAACTCTAATAAAAATTAGAGACCCTCACCTGGCAGGTGGAAAAACATGGTAAATATATCCAAGATCAGTGCCTATTTTAACGTCGACTTGATTTGATTCACCAACCATGGTGGATTTTAATGGTGATTTATGATGAATTTAATGGGCATGGAGATTTGTATTTTACGGATGGACAATGATAGATTTTTCAGAATATTTTTGAAGATTCAACCAAGATTTATGATGGACATGTACCATCCCAAAATTGAGGATTTTTCTGTCGATTTCTGAAGTTTTTTTCCACAAGAAACGATGTTTTTTTTTTCCACCACACATGAGGTATTTATGCAGATTCATGAGATGATTTTTTGTAAAGCGTTTAAAAGAAAAAACACCTACCATTTGGGGGTGGTTTTTAGAACCCATTTATGACGATACTGTGGATGGTTTATACCTGGGTTTACTGCATTGCTGTTAGTAAAGCGATAGGATCCAGCAGCCAGCATCCCAAGATTTACACTAAATGGGTGGTATAATATGGGTGGTTTACTATTGTTTTTCTAAAATTAGGGATTTGCTGAAAGAAAACTTGAAACAACACTTGTCATGCCACTTTTTTGAACATGTGTTTGGTCTAAAAGCAGGATAAATCAAGTTGATTACCACCGAGAGTGGCATCAGCACCCAGGACAGAATTGAGCGCCACATTCATTGTAGATGACAAAGGCGAGCCGAAAGACTTGGACGATTGTAGTAGCAAGAGGCAGAAACTTCGAAGAGCATGACGCGCGAAGGTTGAGAGAGTCTTCGCTTCGTTGGAGCCGCTGCGAGCCTTCAGAGGGCAGTTAAGAAACCATGCCCAAAATATAGAACATCAAATGAAAATCCAACATTTTGGACATGGGCGAACTCAGTTCCAAAGTCATGCCTTAATGGGAGCACCCACCAATACAAAGAGAAACCCCACCCTAGCTTCGTTTGTTGGCTAATGCGATGATATAGTTATCCTACCAACACAAAGAGACACCCTACCCCATCCAACCAAAAGCTATAGTCACCATGAACATCCAAAAACCCTGATTAACCTACGGTAACGACATTTAAATATGTGGGGGGCGGGCCAGACCGCGAGGCCCCGGAGGTAGTATGAAATACCAGTTCGCATATATATTTAAATGTAGTTACCGTATGTTTAAATGAATGGGATTCCGTATGTTTAAATGGCCGGGCGGGCCAAGGAAAGTTTTCCCGTAGGTAGTCTAAAATACCTGTTCGTATATTTAAAAGTCCGTATATAAATGTAGAGACCGTATGTAAAATAGCCTATGTATGATCCAACTTTGCTATCCAGAGGCACTGTGTACACGTCTAATCATCAAATATGAACATGATCAATTGTCTAGGGACGCATTTGGGATTATTAATCATTGGTTGAATTCCAGAAAACATGAATTCCAATGGTTTTGGTGGTTCTATCCTAGAATGTTTGTTGGTAAGCATCCTCATTTCCTCATTGGTGAACCGCCATATAGACAGACGGCTATCCCAGTTTTTGATGGTCAACAGTTGAAGTTTTCCCACGGCCTGTGGGCCCCGAGATAAGTAAGTTGGTTCATTGCTCCAACATATGGGTTTTATTGAGGATATATTTTACAAAGTGGGGCCCCCTAGATAGCTAAGTTGGTTTATAAGTGGTTTAACTGTGGTTTATGGTAGATATAACTATAGTTAATGGGGATTATCATGGTTTATAAATCAACTTATAACTGGGGGGCCCCATCCTGTACAGTTGAAGGGCTTTATAAATCAACTTAGAATTGGGGAGACCCAAGGCATTGATGATGCGGCTTCTCAAATTCCCGTTTTCGAGATTTTGCAGTGAGGTGCAGAAACATATTCTGCTGATCTTCACATCGACCTCTTTTCTCCGTAGAATCAGATACCCTCTGGTAAACTAACGGTTTGCTATGGAAAATCACCATTTTTCATGGGAAAACTCACTATTTCTATGGCCATTTTCAATAGCTATGTTAAATTACCAGAGGGTATATAGCCATCTCCAAATGGTATGTTTGAACTGCCCTAACTCTGTTGACCGCCATCTGAGGCAATATGAGGGCTTGATTTTTCGTGCATTGTCCTGTAATATCCATCAAATATGGATGCATCCATCAAAGCTTTTCACGAAAAATATGACCTTCATCAGCTTCAATGCGCAAATTTGGTCAATTTGTAGCTTAACCCGGCTGGTAAAACCACCAGTGTTGCTTTTCGGCTTCCAAAAAATGACCAGCAGCCAGGTGAGAGCTACACGTCCTTGAAAGAGAACGGTCTCAAAAGCTGGTGTTCCGAAAATCTCGAAGCGGCCAAGGGATTTTCTATGCGCCCCTGGGCATTTGGAGAAGTTTCATGCTGATTTTGTTGGGGTGTTGGTGATGCCAAACATATGGACTCAGCAACTTGCTATCTTAAATCAGATGATTTTGTCAATTGTGTTAATTGTGTCAATCTCTGTCGATCCTCAGTTCCCAATGTCACTCTCTGACTTCAAGTGTCAAATCATGTGTTTGCCAGGGGGTCCAATTTCCGCGGTATGCAAAGAGGCCGCTGGATTCCGGCTGAAATTTCACCTCAGGCGAGATTTCTTGAATAATTCTCATCAATTGAAACACTTCAGACCAAATTTCTAGGCCAGGTTGTCCAGGAATGAACTATATTAATGTGGGAAACCAAATAATAAACCATCCCCAATTAGAGGTTTCTGATTAGATATACCATGGTATACCCCTAGAACTGGGGATGATGTAACATATGACCCCCAGTCATGACATGGCTGGTTCATGGGATTTACCCATTAAAAATGGGGATTTTCCATAGTTTTGTTATGTTAAACGTTTTACCAATTGGCTTTTCCCCTGGCTCAATCTACCGAGGTCAAGTGCAGTGGTCCGTGGAGACCACGAAAGGCTTGGTGGACTCTGTGAAGACAACGGCGCATGGCAAGCTGCAGGAGACCTTGACGAGCATCAAGGGCACCTACGTAACGCGGTGAGCAGAGAAGGGAGGATGATTATTGTGGCTACTAAGCAGTACAGAGGGGGATATCCCCCAAGTACTTAGGTGATGGTATGGGGAAATCAGATGGAGTCATTTTTCAGTCTTAACCACATTGGCTGCATCAATTGCAGTCGGTGACATGGATGGGAATAGGTCAACGACCATGCGAATTACCCTTTGGTAACCAAACGCGGAAAGCTGGAAATCCCTGAGCGAAATGGGGGTTTTGATTTATATAATGGAAACACCATCTCTAAATGGTGGATGTTCCATTGCCTTGTTTGATTGCCAGAGGGTATACCAGTTGTATCAAGGCCAATAAGTTGAACCTTGAGATGCATGGGGTAACCACAGGTTGCTGGTAAATAATATTCAATCTTCCAACCATTTTTCCAGCTATAAACCGCCCGTTTAGGGGATTTCCCAACTAGTCACGTTGGTTTTTGGATATGTGTTGGATTAGTGTTGCGCAAGGCTCAGCATGGCTCAGCTGATTTCAGCTCCCCCAGCGACGCTGAGGCGAAGGGCAAGAGTCATGTGGCCGCTCGGCCGAGCGGAGAGATCTTGGAGACGGAAGTGATAAACAGCGCAAAACCAAAAGTGTGCCATAATCAAAAGTTGGACTGTATACTCATCATGGGTAAACTAACATGATGTGGACAATGATAAGAATCTACACATTATGGTGTTGTTTTTTTTCTCCACATCTATGTTAGTTTACTGGCGGATTTAAATGGATTTAAGGATTGCATATAGAATTTCATCATATTTCATCAACACATCATATCATTCAATTACAATTATGTAACCAACTTTACAGGGACCAAGATGGTCATCGATGGTGATCCATTCTGTTTGGATTCTCATTGCGGGATGACCAACAGAAATTTGGGGTTTGTTTCATCTCCATGTATCGCCACTAAATTTTTTGTTGCTGAAACAAAACCATGAATCGCCACTTAACAAAACCATCAAAGTTGATAGTTTAATGATGTTAAATGATGTTAAATGATGTTAAATGATGTTAAATGATGTTAAATGATGTTAAACTCCCATTCAATCGCCTAAGAATCTGCTGATTTTCACCATGAATGAGTCGTCCACATTGGATCCACCCAGATCCCTGGATCCCACAGGTGAATGCCTTGGACACTGCCAAGGGCAAGGCGACTCAGGCATTGGACACTGCCAAGGGCAAGGCGACTCAGGCGCAACAGAAGGCCAAGGAGGCGCCGCAGCTGGGAATATACGGACTTGTTCTGGGGATATAACGAGACATTGTGCAACATGTCTACATCCAGTATGTTGTATTTTATGAATTCGGCATTTAAGTTGATATTTTTTCTATACGTTGCATCGATAAGGGACATAATGGGATATGGCCTGGGCTTTAATTGGATAAGATAGAAGGCAAATATCATGTGTGAATGGAGATTTCAAGGGAAACCTTGCATGTCTTGGATCCACAGTTCAGATCAGTTCAGTACTGTATGCTATTTTGGTTTAAATTGTGCAACTTATCTTAACTATCTTTGGAAAAATGTAGCTATCTAAGTTAGGTCATGGTTTGAAGATGGTTCTTCTTCAATTTCACAAGGTCAGGGGTCTGATATGTTTGGCAAGGGGAATTTGGACATGATGTTCATGTTTGTTTATAGGGACAGTGACAGTGATGAAGGCTTTAAGGATGTTTCAGACACCGTGACAGTATGGCTTCAGAAAGTAGAAAAGTGTGGTTTCAACTTTCAACTAGTTGTAGATTTGTAGCTAGCACACCTATAGTTCAGAAAGTAGAAAAGTGAGGTATCAACTTTCAACTAGTTGTAGATTTGTAGCTAGCACACCTATAGTTCAGAAAGTAGAGTCAAGTGTGGTATCAACTTTCAACTAGTTGTAGATTTGTAGCTAGCACACCTATAGTTCAGAAAGTAGAAAAGTGAGGTATCAACTTTCAACTAGTTGTAGATTTGTAGCTAGCACACCTATAGTTCAGAAAGTAGAAAAGTGAGGTATCAACTTTCAACTAGTTGTAGATTTGTAGCTAGCACACCTATAGTTCAGAAAGTGGAAAAGTGTGGTTTCAACTTTCAACTAGTTGTAGATTTGTAGCTAGCACACCTATAGTTCAGAAAGTAGAAAAGTGAGGTATCAACTTTCAACTAGTTGTAGATTTGTAGCTAGCACACCTATAGTTCAGAAAGTAGAAAAGTGAGGTATCAACTTTCAACTAGTTGTAGATTTGTAGCTAGCACACCTATAGTTCAGAAAGTAGAAAAGTGAGGTATCAACTTTCAACTAGTTGTAGATTTGTAGCTAGCACACCTATAGTTCAGAAAGTAGAAAAGTGAGGTATCAACTTTCAACTAGTTGTAGATTTGTAGCTAGCACACCTATAGTCAGCAACTAGTTCATAGTTAGTTGTTAGATTTGTAGCTAGCACACCTAGAGTTCAGAAAGTAGAAAAGTGAGGTATCAACTTTCAACTAGTTCAGAAAGTAGCAACTTTCAACTAGTTGTAGATTTGTAGCTAGCACACCTATAGTTCAGATCAACTTTCAACTAGTTGTAGATTTGTAGCTAGCACACCTATAGTTCAGAAAGGTAGGTCAACTTTCAACTAGTTGTAGATTTGTAGCTAGCACACCTATAGTTCAGAAAGTAGAAAAGTGAGGTATCAACTTTCAACTAGTTGTAGATTTGTAGCTAGCACACCTATAGTTCAGAAAGTAGAGTCAAGTGTGGTTTATCAACTTTCAACTAGTTGTAGATTTGTAGCTAGCACACCTATAGTTCAGAAAGTAGAGTCAAGTGTGGTTTATCAACTTTCAACTAGTTGTAGATTTGTAGCTAGCACACCTATAGTTCAGAAAGTAGAGTCAAGTGTGGTTTATCAACTTTCAACTAGTTGTAGATTTGTAGCTAGCACACCTATAGTTCAGAAAGTAGAGTCAAGTGTGGTTTATCAACTTGTAATTTCTTCTAGTTTGCCCAATCAAACATGGTGAGATATCAAATTGCCTCGACATTTTAACCGTCGCCAGCTCCATACCGCGCGACATGCCTCGATCCAGGTGGTCCAGGACAAGCACGTTCAGGCGCCGGTTGGATCCGGTTGGCAAAAAGCATCAAAAAACTATTGAAGCCATGGCCCAGTCGAAATAATGGATTTACCCAGCTAGAAAATGGTGGATCTTTCTATGGTTATGTTGTTAGTTTACCAATGGTGTAAAATGATGTAACCTACATGAATTTGTGATGTATCCCGACTTTTCTGACTTGACTCCAGTTCGTGATGCTTATCTTAAAGGATTTTACTTGGGCAAATCCAAACTTTTTCCCTCAACTAATTCACTCCCACTTCGCTGAACCATGGAGTGAGTTAACTAGTTGGTAAATGGCAATCCACTATCTACCCAGTTATGTTCGGGGTTTCCTAAGCAGTTCCCAAACTCCGCAGCCCACCAAAGTAGACCAAGTAGTTTTTTTATGTTTTTTTTGTAGCTGCTACATCTGAACTCCTTCGAACTCTTAGGGCAAAACATGGCAAGGTAAGTAGTTATTTGCACTAGGAGTTGCTCAAGCTAAAACACCTACGTAAGTACACTTGTTGGTTTATATCATAGTTAATATATTTATATACACACACCTTATATACCTGGAACCCAAATGACCCCTCTTTTGAATGATTAACCCTCAATTTTATGGGTCAAAACCTTGGAAAACAATGGTCATTTGGGTTCCAGGTATGTATATATGTATATATATATAAAAATAACTATTATTATTATCATCATTATTATTATTACTATTATTATTACTATTATTATGTTATCATTATTATATATATTATATATATGGGCAACTCTTAATAATTCACTGACCTGAAACAAGGCCATTTTTGGATGATTCCTCTTATTAACCATATATCAGCTTATATCTATTCTTGATACATTAATATACACTAGCAGTGTTAATGTAGTAAACTAGTCTATATGATATATATATATATATATATAATTATATATATATATATATCCCATGACGGATCCATGGTGCTGGTATATTATATATGCTAACAAAAATCTAACAAACATGGGGTATATTGATGGGATCCATGGCACACCATATATATATATACCATACATGGATTATATACCATATACCATATATACCATATATATATACCATATATATATATACACCATATCATATATCATATATCATAGATTATATATACATATCGTAGATTATCATAGCTACATCCCCATGATTTCCCCATGACTTCCAGCCCTGCCTCTCCGTAACTTAGGCCACGGCCGCCGGAGCGCTGGGGGGCGCGGCCACCCTGGGTGCCAGTGGCGGGGCCACCGGCCTGGCGGAGACCTGGCAGAGATGGGATGGGATTTCTTTGACATAATCCTCTGCTATGGAAAACCATAGGAAAACCATAGGACAACCATAGGAAAACCATAGGAAAACCATAGGAAAACCATAGGAAAATGGAGGTTTATCCTCTGGTAAACTAACATAGCTATGGAAAATCACCATGCGTTTTTAATGGGTAAATCAACTATTTCGGCTGGGCCATTTTCAATGGCAAACTGTTTGTTTACTGGTTATTTGGCCATGGAAGCCATGGTCCATAGAAATAGATGGTAAACACCGTTCTTAATAGCATGGTGGATCTTTCCATGGCGAACTGTTAACAAATAACCAACGGGTAACTATAACTTACTGGTGCGTTTTACGCAGGGAATTTTCGGGCATGATCCATAATCACTAAAAATAACCATCCCATTCCCCGATTCCCATCCATTCCCTACGTTAAGCACCAGTAAGCTGACTGAAAATGGCCAAAAATCATCGAACAATCACAGAACATGGCCAAGAACATCGAAAAAACATAGAACATGGGAACATTTGATGAGTTTCCCATAGTTTCCCAATCAGCATGTGATGAGAAAATTAATTACTCTGATTTCACTAGAACATCGACAAATCATAGAAAAATCATAGAAAAATCAGCTTTCTCTATATATATATATACCAGTAAAACAAAAAAACACTGTGAATGATATATTTCATGGTACATATATTGTATATATATAGCATAAGAACTGGTGAAAATGGGCAAGAAGTGGGATTTTAACATCAACAATTGTGAAATAATGATGATTCCCAGAGGGTAATACTATGAAACTGGGAACAACATCGAACTTAACACTAATTTATGGTATTTTATTGGCTACTAGGGACAGCATCTATATTCGAAGGATTTATAGAGGATTTACCTGGTGCCATCAAACGTGGCTAGCTGGGAAATCCATATTATGAACGTAGTTTTGATTGGGACAATCATCGAACCAAGTGGTGGAGTTTCCAGAAAGCCATGTTTGATTACCAGAGGATATCACTAGGATTCACTATGAAAATGGTGAACAATATGGAATTTAACGCTCACTTATGGGATATTCATGGGATACTCATCGAAGGAAATTGATGTTTTGCATGGAGTTGAATGGAGTTCTTGCGGAAAAAAATGGTGAATGGTAGGTGAAGATGGCTCATGATGGGTAATAATTTGTGATGTTTACACAGGATGGGGCCCCAAAGATAGCTAAGTTGAGATATAAGTGGCTTAACTATGGTTTATAGTAGATATAACTATAGTTCATGGGGGTTACAAACCAACTTATACCTGAGGGGCCCCATCCTGCAGGGAAGAATTCCTTCCATTCATATTAAACACCCCCCAGAAAGCATACTCTAAGAGGGGATGAAACCACATATGGCCGGGACCACACAGTGGGAGGAACAAGGGCAAACTGACTTGTGCGGGGTGTTTCATATGAACAAGGGATGGGAATGTGGCATATGGGATTTAGCACCCTTTAATCATGAACAATGGTGAAGAAACATACAATTTTATTACCCACTGTACTGTGACTTGAAATTTAACGAATGGCGGAAATTGGGATTTGACATTGGAAATTACAAGAAATGGGGATTTAACACTATGAACATTGTGAAACAGTGGGATTTAACAATCAACAATGGTAAAACATATGGTTGAACCGTTAACATGGTGAAGCATGGATGGCATAGGGATTTAACCGTTAAACAATGTCAAACCTTGGGATTTAACCATTCAAATCGGGATTTAGCACTATTTATCCAATGAATAATTGAGTTGGGCTTGTCTAAAAAATGTATATCCCAAAAATCGATGGTTGCTTAGTTGCTTATCATTTCCCCATTATGGTCATATTGAGTATACCTGTATACAGTACCATATTTTCAGACAAGCCCATTCAATGGAAATATACACAACCAGTTTTCTAGGGATATAACTGGACAGATGAGATTTGATGATTAGGGAAGTGGACAGTTCATGGCTTGGTGGGTGGTTTCGTTGGGGTATGTTGGGGTATACGTAGGTGTACCGTTGAATCCAACAATGATGCAAAAAAAGTTGATTTAATGATTGAACGTTGGGATTTAACCATCCAAAGAAAATGATACATCTAATATAACCATCAAAAACTGTGATTTAGCCATCAAACAATTGCAATAATGAGGGTTAACCCTAACGTTTTTTTTTGGCGGTGTGACCATATGATAATATGGATTACATTGAACCAATGAATGATAGGTTTTGGTATGTCTCTGAAAATGCGGGATACCCAACACATTCCAATTGAAATAGGACAGCTGATGATTAACCAGTGAATTTTGGTGTATCCTTTTTTGAGACAAGCCCATATCAACGTTAACTATCGTCAACTAACCATAATTGGGACTGTACATATGCATATATTTTTAATTATCACATATAATATATATACACATTATATATGCTGCGGGTATCCATAATCAACAATATGATATTTGAGTTGATGAGTACACATATACCTGGATTTCCAACCACCCATGCTAATCAACACCATAGTTATATCATAATATACATCAATATTTATTATCATGCAATGGTTATATTCATGTTTCATAACCATGAACAAACATGAATAACAATTTAAATACCGATTTGTATATCCATCAACAAACATTACTGTAAGATATCATGGTTATATTAATTGTTAGAACCATCAACAACCATCAAAAACAATCAAACACCATAAACATAGCATTTCTGTAACCATTAACAACCATTCATAACCATTATCATTACTATTTGTGTAACCATTAACAACCATCAAATAACCATTATCATTACTATCTCTGTAACCATGAACAGCCACTAATAACCACTGACATAGCATGTTGGTAACCATGAACAACCATTATATAGTAACCAGTAGTAACCATCAACGAACCGGAGGCTGGAACCGTGGTCGGTGCGGCCATCGGCGTGCTGCCGGCGCTCTTCACCTTCGGCTTGTCCATTCCCGTGGGCGCGGCCATCGGCGGAGGAGCAGGTGCCTGTGGGAAGCTGATCTGGGAATGGGGATCCCCAAGTCACCGGTTTCAAAAAAAACATGGACTAATGACTTAGATGATTTGGGGTCAGATTTAGGAACCTCCATATCTATTGGTAGTGTACATTGATATAGTTTTTGATATCTATCAGAGTGAAACATAGTATAATAATGATGTATAATCATCAATGCTTACAAGAAAAAGTTTATGTATATATCTATTAGTATAGTTTTTTTTGCTTGAGAATGTAGAGTTTTCATGGCTGGAGAAGTGTGTCATTTTTGTGTATCTGTGAAAGAAGTGGATTTCTCAGGGGTTCTAAGTGACTGGGTAGAGTATTCGAGATAATGAGAGGGCACCGGCAACACAAATCCAGCACAACACGTACAACTCTTTCCACGTCGCGAAAGTTTGACACATTTGACCCACATAAATTTGATTGAAGGTTAGCCAACAATCTCATGGTCGATCATCATTGTCTCACTACTCAAGTGGACCATCAAGTTAAGTTCACTAGTAAATGGCTTTTGATTCACTACATACCTGTTGATAAGGGCTTACTAACCAGGGAGTTATCTTCATGAGTAAGTAGTATAGTAGTTTCTAAACCTAAAACTTCAGATTTCTTAGGGCAAAACAAAATAACCTATAGTTTTGTATTATTTGAAATGGACAACACTCCTTGTATACCATTGAATCCCATTATTTCACAATTATCTCACCATTCTATTGATATTATCACCATTATTTCTCATTATGTTGGCTGCGCATTTTGCGGCAACAGTTTCATCGTTCCGATCTCTCTTCCGTACTTGTGCTGCTCGAAGACATGTGCCATGCAGCACAGGGCGGCCAGGAAGGCTCTTTCGAACGCGGCCAAAGCGAAGGCCAAAGCTGTGCTTCCAAAGCAGATTTGGCAAAGGCCACAACCAAGCAGCCACCAATGATGCCCAAGACTCCGGCGAAGGCAGCACCAGCCAAGGCTCCAGTGCCACCGGCGACTCCTGTGCAGCCAAGCCGGTCGCCAAGCCCGCTCGTAAGGCAAAGGCTAAGGCTCCAGCCACGTCAGGGTCAGAGCCGCGGTGACAGACATCGCGGCACCGCCGGTGAGTCCCCCAGCCGGCCAAGTTGGCAGACCCATCGCCACACTCGGATCTACATCGGCCGGCGACAACATTGACAGCTTGTTCACCTGAGAGCGCAACATCCATGAATCTGGCGGGCACTTTCCACCACAATACCATTGCCCTCGGAATTAATAACCAGGTTGATGTTCCATGCATGTGGATTTGCTGGGGGGTAAATGTAATGTAATGAATGCCATTTACAATACGTGTCACAGGGCCACCACCGTATAAAAGGTTGAAGTGATCTGCCAGATTCACTTGTTACATCTGGTCAGCACGTGGTTGCTGGTTGGGGGTATTCAAGATGCTTGTAGTTGGACTGCAGTGTGTGCATTGCTCCGTGCTGCTTTGAAGCCCTTTAACTTTCACCCCTGTAACCACCTTCCATTGCATGTTGCGTGCTGAAGATGCTACGCTGAAGATATCTTCTTGGGAAGAACTTCCAGGGTGGGGCATCAGGGCTGGGTGGGCGATCACGTTGGTGTAGAAAAATGATGCTGACTAAAGATGACTAAAGTGGTTTCCTAAAATTTGGAAGGTGTGCCCCCTACGGCCCTATGACTTACCCATACTTACCCTCTGGTAATTTCACATAACTATGGCTCAAATCACCATTGAAATAGTGAATTTTCCCATGAAAAAAGGTGATTGTTCCATCGTTATGTTACTTTAACCCTGCTCTCCACCGCCTCCCGCCTCGCGCCGAACGCCGAGGTCTGGCCGTTGGCGCCTCCGTAGGCACCATGGCCGGCAGCGTCACCGGCGGCGCGGCCGGGTATCAGGCCTACGCCAAGAGGGAGCAGCACCTCGGCATTCCCCGGGAAAAAGGGGGAAATTCACCAGCAATAGATGGAGATTTCACCAAGAAAAATGAAACATGGATGATTTTTGATGATTTTTTTTAATATTTGTTTTTACCAAGAACGAAAAAACGATGGTGATTTTTCACACTCGGAAACAATGGAAGATTTAGCAAACCATGGTGGAGTTGACCATGGTCGCAATGATTTAGCATCAAATCTATGGATCTTTCCAGACAAAGCCTAGGTACCCTCTGGTAATGACTAACATAGCTATTGAAAATGGCCATTTATAGTGGATTTTACCCATTAAACATAGTGATTTTCCATAGCTAGGTTAGTTTACCAGAGGGTATATACTATGAGTTTTGGGGGGGCATGAGCATTGTTAAATCCTAGCATCCCTCGAAGTATTTTGATGAGAACTGGTACACTGACACTGATTTTGATTTACTCCAAGGTATGGCTTGAATATCAGCTATTTATTCAGAAAATCCTTGTAAGTTTGCAACTGGTTTCGTTGCCAGTTGAAGGCCAATGACCTCAATACTTGGCAGTTCAACGTCACCATGTCGTGTTTGTAAAGCAACCATTTCAAGGTTTAGTTAAGCCCTATGGCTCCAACTACCTTCTTAGGAAGTATTTGGGGTATGATTTAGGGGGTTAAGTCCTTTCTCAGACAGTGTTTGGATCCATAGGGAGGTATTATAAGTGATCTCAAAATTGTGGGAGGCAGGGCATGGCTACATTGTTGTTCCATGCAAATCATTTGTTGCTACTCTGCAGTGAAGAAATCTTGGCTGTGGAAACCCATGGCTTTGCCATTCGGAAAATGATCTACAATGTGAGGCCCCCAACATAGCTAAGTTTGTTTATAACTCCAATAACTATGGTTTATGGTACTTATAACTATAGTTACTGGGGCTTTTGTTAACCAACTTATAACTCGGGGGGGCCACATTGTACCCATGGCGTTGCCGCTGCCGAGGATCGGCGAGTTTCGCACCAACACGGTGAACAAGGCACGGTGGGACGGTGGGTGGAATCAGACTGGCGCTGGGGAAGCCTTGGATAGGTGGATGCAATATATATTTTTCTGGGGGTGGACATATGATGATGTGATAAGTGATAACTAACATATTTTTCTTGTGGATAGATGGATGCATTTTTTTGTTGTAGTGGACATATAATGTATTATAATGTGATAACTAACATATGTTTCTTGCAGGGCATCCAAGATTGACCATGAAATGCTTAAAGACCTTTGGTGAGCCCAGCCGCAGGCAGATTTTTCAAGTGCATCCGATTGGACCAATGCATCCATCGACAGGGAAATATCATGTCGACATGGAAATAGAAACGTGAAAAAAATGGCTCGTCCATGGGTCAGTTTTGGTTGCGCATATGTTAAGCCATGTTAAGCCCCAATGCAACTGAATTTGTCAATTATTTCAAATGACTGACTTGTCTGACACGTCATATCAGTAGCCTACAGCTGTCAGAATCTTCTGCGCTATTCCCAGCATCGAATGACTCTGTCTAAGCAGGTTTCTGTCTAGCAGTGGACGTGTACGGATCAGCTAGCAAAACCCCCTGGACCATTTTTTTTCCACTTGTGACAGGTTACAAGCGGTGTGGATGCAGTTGCTTTGGCCAACAATGAGAATCCAGTTATCGCCGTTCTATGCGATGCATGGGTTTCTAGATGTTACCGGTGACCAAATCCCTTCATAAGAATCATGTCATGCGAACATCCAGAGGTGCCATTGTTTCCCATGTTTTGAGGTTTTTCATGAGAGGGATATCCACTTCAAGTGGAGGTGAAGAACAACACCCTACAACTAAAGTGATCACAAAGAGATCAAAGAGGTTCAGATATGATGAAGCACAACATGCAAAGTGTGACCACTGGCATTTCGACACAATTTGATCCTTACTTGACCCGAAGTTGATCTGAATTCATAGGGTAATCCCCCAATTGATGTCGATGAAACTCCTTTCAGAAATGTAGAAGCTTTCCAGCCTGCTATGTTTGATAAGGATTGATTAGGAGCAGACCAGGATACCCCCAGAGTTTACTTGAAGTTTTCCTGTGCTTTCCAAATTAGCTATTGGTTGGCATAAAATATAACACCATTCACGATTATCGACATCGAAATCAAGCGAGTATGACAGGGTTGTTGAGATGTTCGAATTAGACATCACCCAACCATTGGTTGTTCATCGACAAGTATGCAATGGGGGAATACTGAAGGAACCAGACATGCCATGCGAAGTTCATAAGCCATACCCAGTCTTGCCAGAAAAGGATCTTCGAAACGGGGTTCCAAATTTTTGAGGCTTCTAATTGGGTTTTGTCCGAAAATAGGGGATACAAAAAACGGAAATAGCCATTGAATAAGCCCTTGATTATCATAATTTTCTCCTATTGGCTATTATCCGCAATGGTTTCTTAAAATGGGAAATCCCCGAGTCACCATAGGTTTCAATGCCAATTCATGGTCATCCATGACGACTGGATGAGAACTAGGGGTGGCCCCATGACAAAACGAAAACCTCCTATGACTGAGATGGCCCCCGGAGTTGGCATGTAGTTCCTAACTTGGGTAGCCAGCTACTGATCAGATATAATTCAACACAGATTATTACCTAATATATAGATCAATATAGAATCCACAAAAATAAAACATCTCCGATGACCAACCGCTTGGGTCTCTATCTTAAAGAAATCAGCCCAAGAACTTGGATAAAGCCAAAAATAAAACATAAACTACGCCCATCTACGATCAAACCTTTTCAGCAGGAAATCAACAAACCATAACAAACCCCAAGTATAGCAAGATCCTCTACACCCTTCGGTAATCGAACATGGCAATTGGAAATCCCTCATTTATAGATGGTTTTCCCAGCTATAAACTTCGATTTAGTTCGGGTATGTTCATAATGTTCATAAATTGTCCATGATTTTCCAGCCACGTTTGATAGTTGGAAGGTAAATCCTCTAGAAAGCTATAAATACTATAAACTTCCATTTTTTCGGAGATGTTCCATGATCTTCCATTGCCAATCCTCTTGATACCCTCCATTTGCATGGTGCTTTCCGAAGCTCTAATCTTTCAGCTGGAGATCCTATCTGAGGTGAAGGGAAAAGCTGTGGCCTCCGCGTACCTTGCTATGAACGTTTGGGACATATCATTGATGGGACATACCCGGCCTGGTAAACTAACATAGCTATGGAAAATCACCATGCTATTAATGGGAAAATCAACTATTAATGGCCATTTTCAATAGCTATGTTAGTTTACCAGAGGGTATCGTTGATGATTTAAAAAAACAGATGAACACTTTGCGCTCCATGGTGCTTGAATCGGTGCAGGGGGGAATGCTTGGGAGAACTGTCAGTCAATGTTGCAGCAAAAGGGAGCATAAAAAACGGGGTTTCCCACCATTTTCTTGTCGGATTTTCCATTATAAACCATCCTCCCATTGTAGGAAACCATCCATTTGGGTATTGATATATACTGTAACCTATGGCTTTCAATCATGGGAGGAAAGTCCACCAACGAAGCTACGAAGGCGAGTTGCAACCTCCTGGGGTCCAGATTCTCACCCAAGTGATGGCTTTTGTCCCATGACATCCAATAACTATACAAGGTGGTGCCCAAGATAGCTCAGTTGGTCTATAACTATTATAACAAAAATAGTTGTAGATATCATATATCGAACTAGTTCACGGGATTAACCAACACAGCCATCTTGGGGGCACCAATGAACCACTCATTTCTTCAAGTCCAGGTCATGGTCCCCCCATGTCCCCCCATGTCCCCCTGCGCGATCCTCGGGTCCTCGGATCCAGGCAGTATCTCAGAGACAAAGCGTCCGAAGCGCGCCAGCGCTTGGGCGGCAGTGCCACAGCGTGAGTGCCCACGGTGCCGCGAACGATGGCCGGCCCTGTTTTGCGGATCCGATAGATGGATGGTGGATGGTGTCTGGGGTGAAACAGCTGACATTTTCAAGGCCCATGGGGGCGGCCCATGGGGGCGGGTGTTTGAACTGAAATGGTGATTTAGTGTGGATGCCGTCCTTTCCAAGACACAACAGCTGCGATGGCGTCGCTCGTTTCATTTTGCATTACAGTAGGGGCATTTCATGTCCAGTTATTTTCCATGCATGCTTAGCACACCAGAGCCGGTGGTCGGTGAGCATTTCAAGAGAATGACTCATAACCACCTTGGTGTTCGCCTCAATTCGGATTCCCAGAAGATCCGGAAGCACAGCCCTCGTTTTAGAGTTGTGGGCATGAGCTGTGGGTGGCCGGTGACAATGGAAGAACCGTCGACAACATCCCCCATTTTTGTTAGCTCTCTATGAAGTGGACATCCTTATAGCTTAGCTGTACACATGGGGGATGTGACAACAATTTTCACTGGATCATTCCTCCATAGGGATAGCTTTTTCTGCTTTTTGCGCCACTGGCTTCTCCATGGGAAACGACTGCCTCGGTAGCGAGATTCTGCTAGCGGCGCTGATGCACAGACGAGTTCATCGTGGTGAAGACCTGGGAATCGCGGGGGCCCAGGGGAGAACAGCCCCTGATCCAGTGAGATGGAGATTTGACCATGGATTTAACATGATTTAAGCCTCACATATGGTGAACAAATGGGATTTGAGATGATTTAAGTAATCGTGGGGTCGATCGTCTACACATGGTATGGTCAATTGTGCGAGAATGTGCGAGATATTACCCCAAAAATACCCAAAATATGATGACATTTATGGACCATGTTTTCTTTTTGTCTGAAAAAAACAACATCCTCCATGTTTGAGAATTTAGCATTGTCAACAACCCCCTACGAAGATAGTAGTTCGTAAAATCCAACTAAAGTAGTAATATAACATTGTAATATCACTAAAACATATTATACATCATTTATTATTATTATTATTATTATCAGCTTATTATTACTATTATTTATCATTATGATTTATTGTTATATATATATATGTATATTATTACATATTATAATTATATATATATATATTATATTACATATATTATATGTATTACATGTATTATTATTATATATATATATATTACATATTATATATATGTATATACATATCATATTATAAACGTATAATAAAACACCATATTTCGTATTTTTTTTGCGGCTTACTCGAGATCTTAATCCGTTTGGTTTCTCCAGATCTTCCGCAAGGTACACACCCCGGGTCTAGTGGTGCCTCGGATGACGATGCCACCGGACGGGCTTCAGGGGGGCAGCCGGGGCTTTTCCGGATGTGGGTGGATCCGGGTGGATCTGGAAGCTGGTCATTAGATATACCCGGCCTGGTAAACATACAAAAAGCTATTGAAAAGGGCCATAGAAATAGTGAGTTTTCCCATTAAAAATGGTGATTTTCCATAGTTATGTAAACGTTTACCAGAGGGTATATATATATATTTATAGATATTTATAGATATATACTGGTTAAAAATGGTGATAGAATGGTGATATAATGGTTATATACTGGTGAAAAAAGTGAATAATGGTTAAATTAACAGTGTTTCATAGTGAATCAATGGTGAATCAATGGTGAATAGCGGTTAATAATGGGATATTATAATGGTGACTAGCGGTTAATAATGAGATATTATAATGGTGAATAGCGCTTAATAATGGGGATATATATATATACATACTGGTTAATAATGCTTATATAATGGTTATATAATGGTTACATAATGATGGTTAATAGAATGGCTGGTTGGTGGTTTCAAACATTTGTTTATTTTCCATTTCACATATGGGATAATCCACCAACCATTGACGAACTCATATTTTTCAAGATGGTTAAAACCACCAACCAGTATACTATTACGGCTACTATTATATTGGTGGTACGGTGGATGGAAGAAATCCTGCACCAGTTAATAGGTGGTTGATGTCCACTATTTATATAGGGTTTCAACCATCCCAGGTAGTGCAGGATTTCTTCCATCCACAGTATGTTAAATACTATAATACCCTATGGATCCAGCCGTAGCTTCCTAGGAAGTATGACTTGGGTATGATGACTAGGGGGTGTCCCAAGTACCTTCTCAGGCAGTGGCCATGGATCCATAGGGTATTAATATATGTATATATATATATATATGGCTATGGATCAATACCTATTAATACCCTTTTTTAGTGGGATGAACATCCATTTACCAGCTATTTTGATGTTCACCAGGGGTACAAGGTTTTGACCCATCCCCATATAATTATGATGTTGAATGGTGTAATATTATTGGAGTATAAAAATGGTGATTAATGTGATATAACTCACCAGCATTTTTTTGGCATTCTATAGCTATTTAAAGGAAGCACTTGTGAAATAACCAGAGGTTACTTTTCATTTTAAACTGTTACTGTAAAGCATCTAGAGTGTACATGTGATGCGAATATGATGTGAATGGCTCTGAATCTATATAAACATCATCTATAAATGGGGATCTAGTCGGATATGAGTGAGGTCTAATGGGATAACCAAGCAACAATATTACAGTATCCCTTCCCAATTCATATTAAGCACCCCCCTGAAACCATAATTCAACGGGGGATGAAACCACATATTTGGGACCATAAAATTTTATATTAGCGGGATGGGATTAGTCCTACAAAAAGTCAAAATGAATAAACATATGATAAAACGAGATAAAACAAACCAGAATTGGTTAATCATGGTTAAATCTTCATGTATGATGAGTAAACATATGATAAAACGAGATAACCCCCCGTGTACCTTGGCTCATTGAAACACCTTGCAGCGAAGCTCCAGGACTTAGCCCAGTTGCTAACCGCCTGGTCGGAACGCTTGGTGCGCTTGCCCCACGCCACTGAGATCGAGGCCCGGCCCGCGGCTCTGGGGACGAGCTAAGAAATCTCGACACGATAAGCAATCCAGGCTCAAAACCAACGAAACTTGGGACTATAACGATGATGATAGGATACCTATGAAATCCTATGGATACCTGAACAAGAACATAGTCAGTTTTGATATGTTTTGATATGTTTTGATGTTGGTGTCACCGCTCCGAAATCATTTAATTGAATCAACAGGAACTGCGGGTTTTCAGCTGAGCCAAAATAAAAAATGGGGACTGGAACCTTTTGGAAACGCGGGTTTTGAGCAACACAAAATGGTGTTTTGCATGGCAAAGTTGGAATCAACAACTAATCACTGGGAAGCAACCTCACAAATTGTGGATTTAACCCATGATCATTGAGAATTAACTGGATTGTAGAGAATGTATATGTGAAAAACACAAAACATAATGAGTGTAGATCCGTTTCCCTGGCAAACCAATGGTTTTACATATTGATTGAAGCTCATCTCAGGGAAACCAATCATCTTACTATATCCCGTCATTCATAATACATAATCCGTAACAATGATAATTTTGGTGGAAATTATATGGACCCTCAATGATCGGACCCCCATTGGCAAAAAACTTCCTACACCACTCCCATAAGAAACCTCCATTCCGTATGGGAAGCTTACCAGAATAGGGGTACGATCCGCCAGAGGGTCCCTATAAATTCCATGGACTAAGTTAGAAGGGAACTGGTGGAAACTATAGAATATACTTACATATATTATATTATATATACACATATATTATGTGTGTGTGTGTATCGATTAATATTCTATATCTTGTGATATCCCATCATTCATAGTAAATAACGTTTAACAAAGGTAACTATCAGCAAATTAACCAATCAAATCATGATGATTTTTTCCGCAGTGAAAACCTCCGCGCAGGTTCTGACCTTCCACGATTACGTGGAGGCGAGGTTTTCGCTGAGACGTGGGTAAACAACATGAGGCCTGGGATCAGTGGTGATTATAAACCATAGCAGGAAACCTATCAACTAATACAATGAGATGGGATAGGGCTACTTTCGATGGCTCGCGGGTGTTGTTTTTTTCTTTTTTTTCACAGTGGAACTGGAGGTGTTGAAGCAACAACAATCAGCGAAACAGATATTTAAATTATTTGTCATTGCTTTTTAATCTTTCAAACTGTTTGGACAATTACCCTCTGGTTATGACTAACATAGCCATGGTTTCTCGATGGCCCTAATCGAAATAGATGCTTTACCTATATTAATAGCATGGTGAATCTTTCCATGGCTATGTACTGTAACAAATAACCAGATGGCATATGTTGCCAACAAACACATTCTCAGGCCATGACGATGGCGTCAGATTTGCAGATGGGTCCCTGGGTCTAAAGGTAGCCGTCAAAATCGCTGGGAAATGGATGTTGAAACCTCCAAAGAAGGTCATTTCCGGTTGTGATCCCCTTTTTGTTCCTGAAACCAGTTGAACATAAGTCGAAAACTCAGCGCTGGCGCGGGCTGGCGCGTAAAAAAAGGCATTCCTGCCTGGTAAATGCCTTATGTTCACTTAATTTGACCATAAATCAGATACGGAACCTAGTTTGTTTGATCGCGCTTTTGAATTATATGTGAAAAACATGTATTTATATGTTCATACTCTTCTTAATACGAATAAATTAAGAACATGTCTATTATATAATACAGATCATGTCCAATTTGTTTCAATCCAGTTAACTGGTACGTGTTCCCAGATGCTCCTGCATAAAGGTTTGTCCAGCAGTGGGGGATGTGAAACCAACAGAATGTGAGGCCGTCATTTGTAGTCCGATGTAACTATGGTGAAATGTTGCATTGGATCTTTTTTTGAACTGGAAATTGCCTTGAATATCAAAGCCGGGATTCCCTAAGTTTGTCAACATGTTTTAATGTCCATGCAAAACATGATGTTTTGTGATTCTGGGTGGGGAATATGTTGAATTGAATCACCTTTTTGAACATATGTCTTTTTAAATAAACATCTGAGCTACACCCAAAATTTACAGCAGTGAACAGTAGTATTCAAGAGGTCTCTATTTTTTTCGGAAATTGAGTTGAGGCTTGGAAGCCATTAATCTGGGTAAATTTGATCACGACCTCACTGTTCTCCCCCACTGGGAATCATGGTTTATTTTTGGGGAATCATCCCCAAATGGCCGAACTATTCAGGTTAGTGAAATATGATAATTTACCCAGATTAATACATGAATGGCTGATTGGTGGTTTCAAACATTTTTTTTCCATTTCATATATGGGATAATTCTTCCCATTGACGAACTCAGATTTTTCAAGATGGTTAAAACCACCAACCAGTATAGTTTTTGTTCCAAACCAAAACCACACTTGAATATAGTTATATCATGGAAGAACCGTACACTCTCCAAGAACAATGATTTGGGACCATAAAATGAATATTGGCCGTCGCTCCTATGGGTTTGTCTGAAGATGACAAAATCCACAGTTTATCATAATTTCCCATATTTTGTTTATTGAAATATATTAAGATTTTTTTTTTTTGGGTATCCCCAATCTCACATTCAAATCATTCATTGCTAAAATAGGGTAAATTCATGTAACTTCCCGTATTTTTGCTGGTGGCATCCCCATTTCTTTGCTGCTGAGCCCTCGCCCTGTCCCCGACAACTCGCCCTCGCCCTCCGCAGGGTGTGGATGCAGTGGCCGCAGCCATGGACGCCTGTCATCGGACCATCTACAGAGGTCGAACCTTAGGTGCACGGCAGCGCCATGTCTCGAACATGTAATGTGCAACTTTCGGATATGTCAGGTGATTGGTATCTCATAACGCGTGAATACGCGTGATATATAGATGATTAGTATATAATTGGTGATGGGATTGGCGATATTTTTTGGAACACTAGAATTTAAGGTGTTGAAATGGTGATACAATGGTGATGCAAGGGGATTTCGTATGTTGGAAGTGGCACTTGGAGTTTGCCACTAGTTTCCAGAATGGGATGAAGGAAGAAATGATAGAAAAGTCAGGGGATCTTGTAAATTGTCCTTTCTGGTTTTTGTATAAAATCATCCATTGAAAACCTGGGGCCCGTAAACAGGTACTCAGTTGTAATGCAGATTATTCATTGTTATTCACCATCTATGTTTGAACTACTGGGATGATCGGGGTGATCTTCCTACCTGGTAATCATCCAACAAGTCTGGCGCCATCCGTCGTTTTGCAGCCAGATAGGAACATGTTGCATGGCAAAAAAAAACATCAGCACCAGCCACCAACTACGGTTGACAACCTTCACCTACAAATGGATGGGAAAATCCCATGTTTTCACCACAATTGGGTGACTGAAGCTGGTGAATTTCAAGAGCTGGAGGGCTATATAGACTGGTCAAACATGACCGCAAGCGACCGTGTTTTGCACTCTGAAAATCGGCTGAAAGAGCCAGGCTCAGGAAAGCAGACTGGATCTTCAGTCCGTCTCATTGTCTCGAGAATCTCAAAGCTGGGATCAATTGGTCCATTGGGCAACGACTGAGCCAAAGCCCTACGTCTATACATTGGGAATGGGGGCTCAGGTTGTTCCTGACCGAAAAAGATCTGTTCCGCAACCTCATGGGACTGGCGACGCAAGGGTCTGCCTGGCTAATATGGTCTTTTGCCCACAGTTTTTCTGTCTTTTCATTCTGACATATATTTCAAAACCCTTATGTGTTTTTTTGGACATTCTATTCTGGCATTCTGGCCCTTTATATTCTGACATTCCATCTGAGATTTCGCTGTAATTCTTTTGATTTTATATTTGTGTTGCGATCCAATAATTCCAAACATAGTACATTACATAATTCTGAGAATTTTGTTTGTTTGTATTCATTTTCAAGTTCCGGCATTCCGACCCTAAGACGTTATGAGGTTAGAATTTCACCTTAAATGTTCGTATCCTGGTAATATGTTTCACTTAACCCCAACATTGAATTGCTGAATTTGGTACCAAGATATTGCTGTATTGTTTGTCATATTTGGATTTAAGTTTTGGCACGCATGCATGACTTACCAAGTCAATCTCAACGAATTCAAACAGAAAACTTGAAACTGGAAGACATTGATTGCCATTGTATACATACAAGGGCCTGTAAACCCATATCCAACTAGCACAGTTGGGCTAACATTGATTGTCATTGTATACATACAAGGGCTTGCAAACCCATATCCAACTAGCACAGTTGGGCTAAAACCTGGTTTGAAAACGACATGGTTTTTGAAAGATCATGGATGAACATAATTAGTTGAGACCCATTTCAACCAAAAAAACATGCAAAAAAAAACATGGACCCAGCATACAACAGACTCAGGAATCTTTATTTAAGTTGTGGCAGTTTATATATATCAGACCTAAGTTGCACAAACTATTTAAACTCAACCTTGCAGGTTTCATGTCAGGAAGCGGCTGGAGAAGCTCTGGAAACCCTTGGCGCTGTAAGAGTGCCAGCAGAGAGGGTCTGGTGCTGTAAGAGTACCATGCTACGACAGGCCGGGATGCTGCCATTGAATGGCACTGAAAGAGTCGCCATCTATCAATTCAATGGCACTGTAAGAGTTGCCGTTTTTATCATGGCACTGAAAGAGTCGCCATCTATCAATTCAATGGCACTGTAAGAGTTGCCGTTTTTAAAACCAAGCCTTATGGCATTGTAGCGGTTTCAAACCAAGTATGCCGCTGTAAGAGTTGCTGTTTTTATCCAAGTATGGCACTGTAAGAGTTATATATAATAAACCCCGTATGGCACTGAAAAAGTCGCCATATAATAAACCAAGTATGGCACTGAAAGGGTCGCCATATCATAAACCAAGTATGATGGCACTGAAAGAGTCGCCATATAATAAACCAAGTATGGCACTGAAAGAGTCGCCATGTAATAAACCAAGTATGATGGCACTGAAAGAGTCGCCATATAATAAACCAAGTATGGCACTGAAAGAGTCGCCATATAATAAACCAAGTATGGCACTGAAAGAGTCGCCATATAATAAACCAAGTATGGCACTGAAAGAGTCATAATAAGCCAAGTATGGCACTGAAAGAGTCGCCATATAATAAACAAAGTAAAATGAATTGAAAGAATCGCCAAAAGAAACGAGACGCTGAAGACTTTTGAACAAGTTTTGAAAAACTGTTTTGAAATGAGTTCATGAATAGATTGGCTCATTCTTTAAAGGAAAACCAATACCAATGCCATGTAAAGTATAACTCTACTAAACCAAGATACAGTGATGAGCAAGTAAAACAAAATAGTCTGTAAAGCCAATTAATAACAATTGGCCTTAAAAGTTCCACCAACTTTCAAAGCCATTTCCACAATGGAGCCTTTGGGAGACTTTACGCACACGCACACATATCTAATAAATACATCCATCATATATCCGTATATCGTTATTTTTTCTGAGAGAGTGCCAGCAGTCCTGGCTCTGAGAGAGTGCCATGAACCCGTGAGGGTGACATGAAGCCGTAAACCCATTGGCAAAGAGTGCTTTGAAACAAGCACCAATTAGGCCTTGAAAGAGCGCCAGTAAACAAGATTTCATGGCAACTAGCTTTGAAAGCCTCCTATTAAAAATCGTTGGCTCTGAACGAGTGCCTGGCATTAAAACCATGCTATATAGCATGCCAGTTTCTAAGACATTTGCTAAGTTTCAATCTGGCGCTGGGAGAGTGCCATGCCATGCTTCTATTTAGGCGCTGGAAGAGTGCCCTAAAGTTGCAAGAGTGTCGGGACAGCGAAACTTGAACAAGTCCAAGTGTTTGTTTCAGGTAGGGCCTCAACATGGGCCAATGTCAACTTCGTATTGGGCTTATTCCTGCCCAACAAATTCGTTTTGAAGGGAAGAGAGGTGTTCTGTTTTGCACAGGTACCGCGACAGCTTGAGAGGCCTTTCACAATGGAAGGTGGGACAAATGATTATATATTCTATACATGCATTCAAATTATTGATGCATTCCCTTACTACTCTGTTATGGAAGTAATATGGTTGCCTGAGATGATTTGAGAATGCTTTCTTCCCGAAGGTGATTTGTGTACGAAGTCTTGACTTTGTTGCGGCCAGCGACCCAGCTTGAATTTAATTGATGTGTGTGTGTGAATCATCTTCGAACGATGTGCAACCTGCAGCGCTGCCAAGCTTTATGGTTTCCTGCAGTGTTTTACAGGAATGTCAATAGACAGAATTTTTGTGTAGCTTAATCTCTACAAGGCCCAGGCCTCCAGCACATTGGCATATGAAGGTAGAACCAAAAGATTCTGATGAATTTTGAAATACACGACATGGCATTGTCTGAAACATCGCAGAAGCTTCAGGCAGTAGCTATGTCCGATTCTGATGGTGGCCTCAGCCTTCCATCAAATCCTGGAAGTGCCAGTGAAGAAGAAGTTGAACAAGTTGCTGTTAGTAGCCAACTTCTTCCAGGGGAATCTCAGTGTTGTGATGCTGATTGCTTGGATCGCATTGCTTCTATGCCTGAGTACTCCCGGAAAGCTGATGAGATACGACAAGCTATCAAAGAAGAACTTGGATTGGAGAAACGAAATGAATTTCAGTTTCAAGTCCTCAGAACTTGGATGGCCGGTGAGTCTTCGAAGAGCCAGTCCCAGCGACGATATCAGTTTCAAGACTTGCCAATTTGCCGCATAGCAGCTTCTGACATTTTGCAATGCAACAAGGGCAAGGTGACGAAGCTGACCAAGGAGATTGTGGATGGGCGTGTCTCTGCTCCCAGGGACTTGCGCGTTGGAGGTGGCCAGGTGAAGATGACTCGACAGGAGTCGCTCCAAGTGCAGAATGCTGAGACCATGTGGTGCTGGGTCCACAGTTTCTTAGCAGAGCCCCTTGCAGAAGGTGTGGGCAAGGTGAAGTTCGATGTGGCAACCAAAGTCAAGGAACTTTTGAAAATGGATCCAGTGTCTGAAGTCTTCAATGCTTCCTCCCTGGAGCCCAGACATGTGCACCCGCATGTTACATTGAGTGAGCTGTTGCTTGGCTGTGCGCCAATTTTTTTCTTTGCAAATTGATTTCAAAGATTGTGTTTGGATTCATGTTTTGTGTTGGATCCCATGGATATAGATTTTGAATTCGCTTGTCGACTTTTTATCCAGGCTGGACGTTGCCAAGAACTTTCTCTCTCACTTGCAGCCACCGCCGTCCTACAGAACTTGGGTCCGAATCTACCATAGATCTTGGGAAAAGACTGTACGCTTCAGAGGCGAAAACCAGCATAGCAAGTGCAGTGTCTGTGAAGACATGAAAGAGTACAAGCGACAGGCTTCGACTCTGTCTGATGCCAATCTGGTTGCCAATGCTTATGTCCAGCATCTCCACTTGATGCTTCAAGACAGGAAGGCCGATGCATTCTGGAGACAGATCGGTTTTGACAGTGTGAAGAGTGGAGTGACCTTTCTTCATGAAGGAGCATCGACATGGCTCACAGTGACAATTGATGGGATGGATTGTGCCAAGTTCAAAGTACCGTTGAACATCAGCAAGAGCAAGCTGTTTCAAAGGATGCATCGCCCAGAGATGAAACTGAGCCTGGTTGTCCGCCAGCGTGTGATTAAGTAACGTTTTTGGATTTCATGCCCCCACCCAGTTTGCTGGGCATTGTACTTTTGAATGCTTTTGGATATATATAGCTGCGAGTTAGGTGGTAGATGGACTGTTGGAGATCTACAATTTGATGAACCACGACATTCCTACAACTGCCAACTTGGACATCTCTTTGATCAGTGATGCCATGCTGTTGTGCTACAACCGTCTGCATGCAGCGGGACTTCAATTTCCAAAAGGCTTGAGGGTCCATGCGGATAACTGTACATCAGAGACCAAGAACCAGGTGGCGTTCAAGGCCGGAGCCTTCATGATCTCTCAAGGATTCTTTGACGTCATTGTTTGGAGTTATTTCCAGACAGGGCATTCCCATGGACTCCCTGACCAGAGATTTTCTGAAGTACGGCACCTGCTGTTCCAAGAATCGACGTTGCAAACACCTTCCGATTTTGTCAAAGTCTTGGAGAAAGTCAAACCTAGACAACAGAGAGAGTTGGCTGTTCAGAGAGTGGAGTGTATGGAAGACTGGAACAAGTTTCTGGAGCCATTGGAAATTACCCTCCACAGCCACAACACGACAAGTCGAATGAAACAAGCTGGGCAGCATGCGTGCCACTATTTCCTCATGGTGACTCGGGAGAAGTATGCTCAATTTGGAGATGTTGGCATGGTGGAAAACTTTCAGGATGAGCCGCCCAACCCGAAGGATGTCGTGTTGGTGCTGAAATCGCATTTGTCCTCGGATGACATCTCACAGAAACCTTTTGTGTTTCTACCGGCTTCTGCTCTTCAGAATCTGCAAGGTTGGCCAGAGTACACGGTTCAACTGAACAAAATGTCCAAGGAGACTGAAAAAGAATTGCGGAAGACCATAGAAAAGGTCACCCAACCACCATGGCACATGAAGGCGGCTGCTGAATACATTGAGCAACTCATTCGCCAATCGGGGTGCCATCCACAATGTGTTCGTGACTCTCACCCACTGCAAGAATTGAAAGCGAAGCTGGCAGATGGAGAATCCAAGCCAGAGCCCGGTGTGTTCAAGGCCAGGGAGTCCAACACAACTTGTCAGTTCTTAATTAACATCCAGTGAATACTATCAAGAACCTACTACCCGGGTTCTAACACAGTAGTATGTTAGAATGCCGATAAGTGATGTGATGTTGCGAGTTCCAATGGCTGATTCCGAGGCATCAGACATGGACTTTTGGAAGACGGACCCTGCGAAAGTGGAGGTGAAGAGAGCGGCAAAGAAGAGATCTGCAGCGAAGTCCAAGGCAGCTGTGCCTGTGAGTGGCGCCCAGCCTTCACATGCAGCGGTTGCATTCGACCTTCCCAGTGGAAACGAGGATGAAGCTGCTCCTGCTGCAGGACCTGGACTTCCAGCTGGCCCGAGGCTGGTTGAGGACGATGATGTTCCAATGTCTTTGCCGAGCCCAGCCGAAAGTATTCATGATGAAGACCCTGGGCATGGGCGTGGGCGTGGCAGGGGCCTCAAGAGGCCTGCTGCTGCAACATCAAAATCTGTGCCAAAGATGAAAAAGCCAGCGGCGGCTGAGTTGAGGCTAGCTGCACCGGCAGCATCAGATGCAGCCCCACCTGCAGCAGCAGGGGCTGATGAGCCACAGGGGGGTGGCAGAGTCCTCAAGATCCGTGGAGCGTTGCAAGTTGTGCTGGAGGAAGGCATGACATTAGGATGCCCGAAATGCAGGGATTCCAAAGTTGGATGTCGCACTTGCAGGATGGCTCAAGGCCTCCGACTGATTGGCAGCATCTTGGCTAGATTTGATTATTTTTTTGGAGAAGCCTGCCATTGTTTTTGATCCACTCTGGATAAACCGAAGTTATTATTCTTAGATTGTAGTAATACTAAGTTATTCATTTTCTTGGGTGCTCACAGATCACTGACTGACCGAGATACTTGGAAAAAACCATGAGCGATGATTATCTTGGTGGATGACGGCTTTCTTGCAGTGCCAATTTTGATCTGAAGTTGCTGGCATGCTGACAGCTCCGAGCTCCCATGGAACAAAAAGGGCCTCGCTGTCTCTGTGGCTCTGGTGCTGGAAGAGTACCGGCTTTTTCAGTCCAGCAAGTTTCTCTAAGCCATGAATGAAATCACAATCATTTGAAGATAGTAAGCTGCTCTGCGTTTTTCAAGTCAGTGGCCCAGCACTTTCAGGACTGACTGCCTCGTCGTCTGGGTCAAGAAGTGCCCCTGCCAAGCCTCATTTGATTTCCAACTTGTGTGAATGTCCTGTATCAAGTTGCCAAGCTTGTCAGTGAACAGTGTTGTTGGCACAGAATCTGTGGCCCAAGAAGCTGTGGTTTCGATAGCTGTGCAAAACAGCTGCAGCTTCAGCTATGCCGGCTGTTCATTCATCGCGTTTGTGTGATGATGATGTGGTCATGGTTTCCAGTGATGATGACCTAGAAGACAATGTGGAGATTGTTCCAACCACTTCACCAAGACATGGCCATCCAGATGATCGTTTTTTTCATTTCATGGAGATCTACAGCCCCTTCAGGGTAGCTGCAAGCATCCACAAAATGGGAATGGCTTCAGCTGCAAGCCTGGATGTCATCAATGGTTGCGACTTACTCACGACAGATGGAAGGATGATAGCCCTAGCACTCCTGGCCGAAAGACGGCCGATGTTCTTGATGACATCTCCTCCTTGCACAATGTACAGTGAACTGACCCGCCTTTGGAATGCTGCCAAGATGAGTTGGGAAGTTCGTGCCCTTCGACAACGTGATGCGGACCACATGTTGAAGTTTGGCTTAGAGATGTGCCGTATACAGGGCAAGGCTGGGAGGTTGTGGTGCCATGAACATCCCCACCGGGCTTCAAGCTGGAAGATGGACATTGCATCTTGTTCTTGCTTGTGGTGGATTCTTTTGTGTAATGTAATTTTTAAATCATTAATTATTTAACAAATAAAGATCAAATATCATTCATCCAATGGTCAGACTTAGTAGCATTTACTTTCACTGTCACATTCCATTTTTTGTGGAAAACTTGGGAGTTGGATAAGGTAAAGCAATTGGCTTCCCACCCAGACACGAAGATGGTGACGTTTGACCAGCTGCTTGGCATTGCAATGCAAGAGTTACCGATCATGTGGCACTGAAAGAGTTGCCAATCATAAGGCGCTGCAAGAGTTGCCAATCGGCACTGAAAGAGTTGCCAATCATTAGGCGCTGCAAGAGTTGCCAATCGGCACTGAAAGATTTGCCAATCATCTGGCCCTGAAAAAGTTGCCAATTCAATCATATGGCACTGCAAGAGTTGCCAAACGAGTGATGATTTTCCCCTTGTTGTTTGTGTGTTTGTGCGCTTTCATGCAATAATAGTTGGCCCCTGTTCACCATATTGATATATAGAAACATATTATTTGGGATTAGAGGCGGGTCTTTGCATACGCAGCCATTTTAGAATCCAAGCCCATCAAGAGAGATGTCATCCAGCATGCCAGTGAAGCGGGCACCTGCTACACGTATCCGGTTCAGCCGGGATGAATGGCTTCACTACTTGATGCAGACATCAGATGAGAAGATTTGCGCTTCATGTTGGGCTACACAGTTTAAGAGTTTCCTTGATATGCCACTGGGGAAAAATTATTGACTTATTTTTTGAAATACACATGTTTATTTTTCGTTTTATATTATTTCAAAATAGCAAGCCGGTCTGCCAGACAGGTCATCCTACAATAACCTCTTGATGACCAGCAAAGATTGCAAATGCGATCAGGACGACAAAGGCGTCTTGATGACCAGCAATTGTACATGTGCTCGGGATGGCTGTGATCTGCAGCATTGCAAATAGTTTGCAGGTGTCAGAACGGAGATGTGGTTGTGATCGCATCTTTCAATTACAAGCCATGCTTGCAATTAGCCGATTTAGGGGACCATGATGACTGACCGGGAAAAAGTTGTTTTTGTGTGAGCCGCCCACTTCTGTGCTGACATGTGCTGGCTGTGGGATTGTGTTTCTTGAAGCTGTGTGCCAGCCCTGCAAGATATGCGTAACTTTGTCATCTTAGGTGCAGGACTGGCCTATGTGCCCCAGGCTCTACTTCTGAGCAGCACCCAATCCGCAAGCGCACCACGCTCATGACAAATTCACAGAGCGTGGTGGATATCTTCCGGAAGCTTCAGTGTCAGTGCCAAGTACCTCACTTTCATGTCCAGGGTTCCTACAACGGCATCCCAGTTTCAAAGCACTGTCAGGTGTACACCCCTGGCTTATGCGAAAAGCTTGCTGAAGCCGTGTGGGATGAGTTTAGAAAGAGAAATTAGGCTGGCTTCAAATTAGCCTGGTTGGCTCAATTCAAACAGCAAAGATTTGCAATGACCAGCTGATAAAAAAAAAAAACTTGCTGTTTCCGAGCGAAGTGGGGGTGCAGGATTCGTGCAGGGGGGCTTAGCCTGGGTTCAGCTGAAACCGAGCGAAGTTAGGGTAGTCTAGATAGATCCGAGCAAAGTGGGGGTACGGGATTCCTGTAGGGGGGCTTAGCCTGGAAGTGATCACAACCATGGGGGGTAGCCTGGTTTCAGCTGAAACCGAGCGAAGGGGGGGTACAGGATTCCTGCAGGGTAGGTTAGCTTTGTTTTTGATTTTTTCTTGACTTTGAATTTGAATTGGTTCTGATTGCAGCAGTTGGGGTTTAAATGCGATCAGTCCAATTTGGCCTGGATGGCAGACATCATGGCAGCACCTGTGACTCCAGGCGGCATGTCCGAGAGCATAGAAGAACTTCTTGACAAGTCAATGGAATCAGAATCAGCCAATGAGACACGTTCAAAGGCTGATGAGGATCTTTTTTCAATGGCCAAGAAGGAAGAAGATGTGAAGATGGAGCAGGCTAAATCTGACTTGAGAGCGCTGGAAGATGCAGTGAAATCAGCAGGCACTGAAGATTTCAAGCCTGCGTTTTATGCCTTTGGGAAGGCAGTTCTTGAGCATTGCAATGGTGCCCGCAATGTCTTGACTTCGGTGCTTGGGGACGAGT